TTGACGGATTTTAGTTTGCCGACTTACATTTAATCATAGTATGGGCACGTGAAATAGTACCTACATTGATGTGTTTCTATACAGAAATATACTACCTAATCCTCGAGTGCCACAGTCAATAGATATCTCGAAACAGGATGTCATTGACGTTAATTGTCTAACGCTTGCGTGTAGGAGTGGTCTTTCTGTGTAGAGTTGCGTCCCTTACCCGGCACGGTCATCGATTCGTGGGTTCGAATCCCAGATTATGATCCTTGGTCTGTCAGCACCATCTCCACGCTCGTACGTTTCTTCTTCATCATTATTATTACCATCACATTTATATTTTGTCATATTTGTTTGTTTGTTGTTCAACGCCGCACTCAGCACTATTCCAGCTATATGACGGCGGTCTGTAAACAATCGAGTCTGGACCAGACAATCCAATGATTGACATCATGAGCATCGACCCACGCAATTGGGATACAATGACATGCATCAACCAAGTCGGCGAACCTGACCAACCGATCCTGTTAGTCGCCTCTTACGACAAGCATAGTGGCCTTTTTCGACAAGCATGGGTTGCTGAAGACCTAGTCTAACCGGATCGTTACGGGTTATATTTTGTCATAAATAGATGAGACACTATATATTGAAGGAGTTAAACGTCTGACGGTTTCATTAAGCTTCAGGCATTTATGTCAGTTACAAATTCGTGATAAATCATGATAAAGTTTACAAGCGCTAAATTGGCCTTTGTCGTGTGACGTCTAACTGTCCACTTCAAAAGATAGTTCTAACCTGAACCCCGATTAAAGAGACATTGCGATAAGACACCGCCTTGACATACACCTGGTTGTGGAGGTCAAATGGACAACGCTTTAGTTATAACTTATGATGTCACGTGGTCTCGTGTGCACCTCGCAGGCCACAAATCAGACGGGGGGTGGGCACGGGTGGCCCAGTCGTCTAAGGTGCCGCGATTCGCTGTGCAGAGTTGCGTCCCTTGGGCACGCCAAAAACCTATGATTGTTGGTTCGAATCCCGGTTCGCCCCAATTATGTTTCTAGGTTTGTCAGCCATACCCGTGCTCGTTGGTTTCACCGAAGCGGTAAACGTCTGAGACCTGCATCATTTCGGGCTTTCCTCCCACATTAAGCTGACACGCCGTGATATAACTGGAATACTGTTAAAAGCGGCGTTAAACCCAACTCACTCACTCACTCACAAATCAGACGAAGTTAAGCAACGTTGGTTCGGGAGGTTGTTGCGTTGATGACAGTGTACTCCCTGACTCACTGACACAATCTCAAGAAACCCTTAATTACCAGACTTTGTTATTGTCATATAGACCTTTTTTGGTTTCATTTTTAAAAGATTTCTTTCGGAAGAGTTAAACACAGCTTATATGTATGATTTGTGACATTATATTACAAAAGAATTGCCTCTAGGGTTAGAAACATGTTGCTTTGAGTGTTTCTTTGAATGATTGAAGAATTGTACACCAAACCCCCATATTGAAATAGTGGTTTTAAACTGGACATTGAAACGCACACCGTTATCCACTCGACTGCTGAAACCTATTGACGTCAACCACCAGTGACGCTGGGACAGGTTTTTATTCAGTCAAAATATAGGCATTATAAATGTACTTCTCGTCACGATATGGCTGAAATACTGCCGATGTGACGTTAAATATTAACTTACTCACTCACTCAGTGAAGCTGGCTTGGTATCAAAACTACCTAAGGACATTTAACCACTTATGGCTGTCCACTATAAGTAGACCGTGGTCTAGTGGATCTCTGCCCGGAGAGCGGAATGTCCGGGTTTGATCCCTGGCCACGTCAGACCAAAAGACGTTAAAAGATGGCACTTGTTGTTACCCTTCCTGGCGCTCGGCATGAAGGGGATAATACAAGGTATTATACTGCGCCACCGTGTAATGCAGCTGAGTTATGTGTAGGAAATATAATTTTACTATAGTACGTGTAATTTATGGATGTCTTGATAAAACAAGGACTGGTTGGCTTGGAGTCAGTATACTGTGCCTGAGTGGGGTATTCATGTTAAACTGCGGCATGGTATCTCAGTGGGCTAGCACTATATAACCAAGTTTATTCCGGACAGGTACAAGCAGACGTACGCACGAACACACGCACACACATGCGCATAGATGTATGTTGAACGCCGCATCATCATAACCAAATGAAACATAATGATAATTGCATTAGAACTTCTTTGATCTTTGGTAGATTTAAAAAAATTAAAAATTAATTCCTTATATTTTCTATCCAATATACGCATCATCTAAAACACTTTAAAGGGGGCATTTCTTGTCTTTATTTCTTGAAAAAATATTTCAGGTGTTTTGAGATCGCCTTTATCGATGGGTTTATTTATGCTTATTAACCATTTTCCCGTGAATGTAGAAGTCACAAGAAAACACTTTAAATAGGCATTTCTTTGAAATATTTCAGTAATAAATTATCGTTCATACCTACATTTACTTAAGCCACTCAATGCATACCCAACTATCTTATCATACACGTTACTGTCAGAACCAGTTCTGATTATTTCAAATTAAGTTGGTTTATTGTCCTTAAAAAGAACATCCTTATCTCCTGATCACCCCCAACAGGTGGGGACCACGGGAGTACCAGTTGCTTGGACACGATCACAGCTAAGGCCTTTCTGACACAATCCTGCATAAGTCTTTCACTGACACACTCAGTGGCTAAGTCTCTCGAGATCACTGCCTGGCGTTGTGTGAGGACCTTGGCCCCCTGGTTTCAGGGCTTCTGTTGAGGTAGACACTTTGAAGCTTGAGGACAATAGACTAAGTGTGGGGTTTGCGATCGGCACATTGACCCGGCCAATTAGTACAATATGCATGTAAATTGTCGTGAAATGGGTACACGATCAACGCGGGTGTTGGGGACGGGCTTCCCGTAGGCAAGCACTGACACTATAATCGGTGGCCATAAACTGTTTCTGTGATTGGAGGTGATTTAAGTACCGTGTCGGTTAGTGCAACAATGTTGCCTGTTTGTCGTGTCAGACACTGCCTGTTCTGCCTTGAGAGTCGACGTGGGGATATGTCACCTTGTGTTTTACACAACATGGGTTTTCTGATTTATACCTGGACGATTGACGTGTGTACCTCTGCTTGATTACCGATGTGCTTGTGTAGCAATGGCCCACGACCTGGGAAATGTGTACTCACACGGTATGTTAATATAAGTGACAAAACCTTTTCTATGATCTCCATTGTAAGATTCAGACCATGTAATACCTTTCAGGGGCGGTCGGGTAGCCTAGTGGTTAAAGCGTTGGCTCGTCACGCCGAAGACCCGGGTTCGATTCCCGACATGGGTACAATGTGTGAAGCTCATTTCTGGTGTCCCCCGCCGTGATATTGCTGAAATATTGCTAAAAGCGGCGTAAAACCATACTCACTCACTAATACCTTTCAGACAAAATATAATAGACTGCGGTTATAACGAACTTGAGGGGGGGGGGGGGGGGGGCACTAATTTTAGTTCGTAATAACCGTAGTTCGTTATATGCATACATACAGCATATATACAACAAATGGTCGGGACTAAAAATAAGTTCGTTATATCCGTCAATTCGTTATAAGCGTGTTCGTTATAAACGTAGTTTACTGTACACTGATTTATAATTAGGTTTTAGTTTGATATTTGTGATATATATGCGGACATATAAATCATATATTACCCCTTTGTGGTAGAAATGTCATTCGACCATTTAGACTAGTACCTTTCTCCTATACTACTCAAAAGAAGTTAAAGAACACCCGATATTTTTTATATGACTATAGTTAATCTGTCATGCCATGACTATAGTCATATGAAACAGTCGGGTGTTCTTTAATTTCTTTTCAGTAGTATTTATTATCAATATTTTATGTCTTACCTCTTTTACCCAATATTTAATTTACATCACTACTGTGGATAACGTGGAGTACTTGACTGCAGTCTCTTTAAATGGCAAGGTGTGCTACAGAACATCTTTGTTAGAAGTGCTCTAGACCAGGGCAACAGCTAAGCTGTGTACACAGATAAGCTTAGTCATACATTTATGAGTGTGTGAGTTGTGTGAATTTTGTCATACATTTTTTATTGTATATACCCTATGGGTTTTATGGGAAAGGTGAGTGGGATGAAATGTGATTCAATATTATTGCATATATAGCGACGTGTATGCAGGTGTATGTGCTGTTGGTTTTATAGTGCTAGCCGGATTGGTGTCGGGTTTATAGTGCTAGCCCACTGAGATAACATGCCGATGTTTAACATGAATACCCCACTCACAGTATACTGACTCCGAGCCGACCTGTTCCCTTGTTTTATCCCCTCAATGTCGAGCACCAGGCAGGGTAACAACAAGTACCATCATTCAACGTCCCTTAGACCAGGGATGCGTTCTTTAAGGTATAAGGTTCCTTGTATTTGACTCGCCATTACTACCTGTGCAGGGCTACTTTCTTTACCTACCATGATCCTCTGGTTTGGGGTTCAAATCTCGATTTCTCCTGATTGATATAAGATCCTTGGTCTAACAGCATCCCCCCTTGCTAGTGGGTTCCACCAAACGGGTGACCCGCAAAGATCTAGGTTAGAATAGGTCTTCAGTAACCCATGCTTGTCTTAAGAGGGGACTAATGGGATCGGGCGGACATGCTCGGTGACTTGGTTGATGCATGTCATTGTATCCCAATTGTGTAGATCGATGCTCATGATGTCAGTCCCTGGATTGTCTGGTCCAAACTCGACTATTTCTAGGCCGCCGTCATATAACTGGAAAATTGCTGAGTGTTGCGTTAAACAACAAACAAACAAACAAACAAACGGGTAAACGTCTAAGACCTGCATCGGTCTGGATTGGGCAGACCACCCCATTAAGCTGATAGCTGTAAGTGTTCAGCACGGCGTTAAACCCAACTCACTCAATCACACATATATTGGAGTATCTGTACTGACCTCCACTTGTTCCAGGCCTGGACATCAGCGGGGAGAACCTAGAGGACCTCCTGGCATATGATGACCTCTTCCTCGACTACTTCAACGCCTTCCTCGGACTTCCGGTATGTATCCGTCTGGCTACAACAGAGACACCCGCTGGGTATCACGGGTTTTTAACTAATACTAGATTCTGTTAACACTAGGTGCGTATGTGTTCGTGCGTGTGTGTACGTGCGGCTAACTGGGTTGGGTTGCCAGGCACGCTGGCATGGTTGATGCATGTCTTCGTAGATCGATGCTCCTAATGTCAATTACTGATTTGTCTGGTTCAGACTCGATTTATGTACAGACCGCCGTCAGATAGCAGGAATATTGCTGACTGTAGGGCTGCAACGACACAGGAAGGTCACGATACGATACGCATCACGATATTCTGGTCACGATACGATACGTTTCTCTATACGCAATGATAAAAAAAACAAGACTTAAAGCATGTCAAGATTGAACCTTTCATGATTTTGGAACAGTCAAAATTATTTTATAATATTTATTAACAAGACTACTGAAGTTGTTAAGCTTCAAAGTGGAACTTTCCCTAACTTTCCTTCAAAACAATTCAAAGTTCAAACACCAGAAAATAATTAATGTACTTCACTAGTGATACAACTTCAAAGAATTTATGATGCAATGGTCGAATACATTGTATCTGGAATTATTGTTTTATCAGGAATAATATATTCCAATATCGTGTAGCTTTAGTTGCAGCTTTTACTATATATATTCTTAAAATTATAAGAACCACAAGCGTAGCATTTTGTAACTGGTGATTGCTGTTGCAGGATATTTTTACGTATGGAACAATTTGACCAGTCACCGTAGGGACTTCCCGCGCTACATGTATTTCGATAGGAAAACGTTATGTTGACATATATTAGCCAAATTGCCACAAATATGTCTTTAAACGAGTCAAAGTAGGGCATTGTTAATATGTGTATCCATTCTCTAGCAACTAAAGTTCATTTCAATGCGCCAAAAGCGGTAATCTGACCGTGGTTGCTGTTTCTCTTCACACACGATTTCACCTAACTTAATGAAAACAATATCAAATGGAATTTTGAATAAATATATATAATATGATACAAACACAAGTCCAGATATACAATGAACACGTTTTAATAACAAGATAGTATAATAATGGTATTGAATTGCGTACTTCAGTTTGGATTTGCTGACTGGTATTTTCGGTGTTATGTGCTTGCGGTGATCAGCTGATAATTTTTTTTGAGATGGGGAAAAGCACCTGTCAGTGTAAAACCTGAGCTTATTAAAAATGTAAGTACGTTTTTTGGAGCCATGCGTTACCGCGCGCTTGAACCAAGTTAGAGGTTTATTGAAAGGCACAATAGCGCGGAAACGCTGTACTTGAGATTTGAGTTCCGTATCGTGGCGTATCGATAAATGGGCCTACGTTTATCGTATATCGTATCGTGGGTCAAGTATCGCGATGCATCGGAATATCGGGGTATCGTTTCACCCTTAGCTGACTGCGGCGTTAAACAACAAACAAACAATACATGCAGTGATATAACTGAAGTTAATCTTTAATGTACATCACTGACGGATATCCTGCGTTGCAGGTGTTTCCCCAAGCCCTGGGCTACAACCGTCTGACCGGGGCGTTCGAGGAGATTGACCTGAGTGACCTGAGCGGCTCCCTGTCCGGGTGCGTGTCCCCCTCTGTCCACTATGGCGCCACCACTGGGGAGTGCGAGAAGATGCTGGAGTGGGCTAGGGAGGAGAGACTCCCCCAGTTTCTCAGGTAGCATCTGTCACGTCAAACATTTATCACAACCTCAAACATCTTTCACACGTTAAACATATGTCATATCAAACATATCTCACATGTCCAACATCTCTCACAACCTCAAACATCTTTCGCACATCAAACATTTCCAACAACGTTTGAACACGTCACATACACGCTTCACACAAGATCCAACATATCACACATAAAACATCTCACACAACTTTTGTGCTGTATTAACCCACTGAGAAAAATCAGTCCCAACGACGTGTTCACTTTCATTCTTCTTCTTCTTCTTCTCCTTCTTCTTCTTCTTCTTCTTCTTCTTCTTCTTCTTCTTCTATGAAAACCTCACATACCAACACTTTTGTTCTTTTTTATTTTCATTCTTGTGAAAACTTTTGTTTCTTTTACTAACAATTTCCTCCTTGCTGCAATACCCCCTTCTCATACCTCGCCATCAGTTCCATTTCAGACCACACAAAATTGGTAATTTGTATAACAGAATCGCCGATTCCTCTTTTGTAAAGAAAAATATTTAAGGGTGACTTGGTTGATCGCATACGAGACTTTGCTCATAATATCAATCACTGAGTTATCTGGTCCAGACCCGATTATCTACAGGCCGCCATTATATTGCTGGAATATTGCTGGCTCTGGCAACAAACAAACAACTTGCTCTTGTCCAATGAGACGTTGTCATTTGATCACGTGTTGTATGTTCAATACTGCAGACGATATTTTTCGTAAGACTACGTGCTGCACGTGCAGTCCATGCAAAGTGTGATACAGCTATGTTTTTAGTAAGGGGTAAGTTATCCGACTCTTGAATCTACAACTTATCAAAGACTAGAGGATGCGTAACTTAATGTCATTGCCAGAACTCAGCTGTTCCGAGAACTTAAGTTGTGCAAGCTGTTGCTGCGGCCCCTTGACGACCGTATCTCTGCCAGCCGCAACTCCAGCCGACAGCTACGGGGATACAGTCGTCAGTCCGAGAGCTACGTGTCCAGCCTTAGCAACAGCGCCGACAACAGTGCTGAAGATGCCTTGGATGACGAGTTCGGCCTGATGGAACTGAGACATTCGGCATTATACAGATTCCGGAGACCTGGCAGTAGAGCACTCAGTGACCCCGCCGGGAGGATTTACTATGACAGTGAGTGAACGACCTGTTTATAAAGCAAATACAACTCAAGAACAGATCAAACAAATAAATACGTCAATTGACCCTTGCTCTCCGCATATGTTCTTGTACATTCTCTGAGCTATTGCAGAGACGGGAATACAGTACACATCCACACCCCAAACCCCAAAGCGAATCCACCCACCCCCACCCCCTCCCCCAACATACACATACACTCCTACCTTAATTAAGAACACCTATCACGGGTGCACGGGTGGCCCAGTCGTCTAAGGTGTCGCAATTCGCGTTGCAGAGTTGCGTCCCTTGGGCACGCCAGAAACCTTTAATTGTGGGTTCGCCCCGGTTCGCCCCGATTATGTTTCTAGGTTTGTCAGCACCATACCCGTGCTCGTGGGTTTCACCGAAGCGGTAAACGTCTGAGACATGCATCACTTCGGGCTTTACTCTCACATTAAGCTGACACGCCGCGATATGACTGGAATACTGTTAAAAGCGGTGTTAAACCCAACTAACTCACAAGGACACCTATCATGGCTTGGCAGTTAATATGATAGAATCGGGTGTTCTTAAACCTCTTTTGAGTAGTATATTATATTATGAATGTTTCGTGGTTAGCCTTGTGGTTAAAGCGTTCGTTCGTCACGGGTTCGAGTTCCACATCGATAGTGTATAAAATTAATTCTTTAACCGGACGTCTCTGATGACCATGAGTGCCTTTTCATGTTTCTGAAACCTATCGTTTTCACAGATAATGGGATACTTGGCCCATACTTTTTCAAACAATTTAAACACCTACGGTTTTTTTTTACAATCTCATCCTACCGGGTACCCATTCACTGCACCATGAACAGAGGCATATTATCACATACGTAAGCTTACGTAAGCAGCCACCACACGTGTTAGGAGTGCTTCAGTGTGGGGCAGCACCGAAGCCCAAGAAACTTTCAATCGTCAGACTGCCGAACAGTCACCCATCCAACTACTCTCCGCAAACACTCTCTTTTATTATCATACTAGTCCTGTTGATATCAAACACACATTATTAGTATATTAACAATAGCACCGGATCCGGTCCCTCTGTTGGCCCACCAGCTACATCAATTGGTGTTAATAACAATTTATCATCCAAAACTGGCTCCCACGCGAGATCAAGCGATATCTACATTGTAGATATCGCTGAAATGAAATTGCATCACAATGCTTTGCAGACCATTGTGACGTCATTGTTACCATGACGTCACAACCAAATGACATCACTAATGGGTCTGCTAGTGGCTGTTAGCAGTACTTTTTACATTTTAACACTGCTTGTTACTGTCTACAACAACAAAAAGTTGGAAGAATGATTTTGGATGATAAATAAAATCTCACCCTCGTGTCTTTTGATATCAAATATATCAACACTCGTTGATAAAAGCCTCGGAGTTTTCCACTTTTATCAACAAGTGTTGATATATTTGATATCAAAAGACACGAGGGTGAGATTCTCTATGTATCTTTTTTTAACCTGTGTTTTCCCGATCTCCTCACCCAAGCCCCTCCGCTTACTCCTAAACAAGCACTCCATTGATGTATCCGATCTGTTGTAGGGGCAATACTCTGACAGTAAGATTGCTGTTGACGGTAACATGTCTCTCCGATTTTCACAAGGGAGTGGTTTGTCCTCTTGAAAAACATATAGTGACACAAAGTACGAAAACTTATCAATCTTCAGGGTGAATAGCTTCCTGTTCTGTCTAGACAGCTGGCTGTGTAAACAATCATGTAACGTTTGGTTCATTGCGTATTGTGTACATTAACTCTACATATGGCATCTGCTCCCAATGGAACAAGGGTCTTAACAGAGTTGCGCCCCTTAACTACAACGATTGCCCCATTCGTGACCAACTCGTGTTATTCCGGGACAAGCCGAATAGCGACTCGTGCCCCTCTCATGGCCATTTTTGCGACCGGGTTCTGTCTTTCGCGCAAACGGGCATACCTAAAATAATTGTCAACTCGTCGCGTTATGGTTCACATGTATTTCCCCATATATTATATATATTTCAGATGCAATTTAAAGCACATCGGGACATGCGGAATTATACAGTATGACTGAACACATTTAACTGTGTCTTGGGTATAGTTTTAGATGCAAGACATAATTATGTGAAATCAAAAAATATTTCTGAGGGATTCTTTGACGAAGAACTTGAAATCATACGCGCATTCGGATTGGTTTGTCGTATTTTCGCACATAACATTCATCGATAGGGGGACGAGTCTTCTTGCAGGTTACGGAAAGAGGCGATTGGTGACGAATGCGATTGCCCAAGCTCCTTCCCAGCGCGTGACACCTTCGTTACACTCTCGGTAACATCGCTGGAAGTGTGGAAGCGGTCATTACAAGAATCTTGAAATTTGCCCTCTGTCCCCCAATGTAGTAACGTTGATGCTTTTGTTTATGTCTTTGGGAATGCCATTATAGTGAATTTTGAAAAGGTTTACGACTGACCAGATTTCCCAGATGAATTTACCTTCTTGTTGTTTGAATCAGATTGGTTCGAGATTGCAGACGAACGAAAATCAACCAATTTCCCCCTTCCATTCTTACTATACCAATTATATGATAGTTTAAATGAAACATAAATTCCAATAGACACTCAAAGAAAATATTGAAACTTGGGTAAGAGTATTCGGTCGGCGTCGTGGCAGTCATCACTTGTTCGTAAACATAACGGAAAGTCGGTTGCGAGTTCAACTCCGAGCATGGTTGTGGCCACCTATCACAGTGGGGAGCTTTGACAGGTGACAGCGGTAGTATAGAGATCTCCGCGAACAGGATATCGCTGGTGATATCGCTGTGAGGCGCTTGCAACGACCCCCCACAAAAAACAACAACAAACAAACAAACAAACAAACAAAACAACAACAACAAAACAAAACAAAACAAAACAAAAACAAACCAAAAACAACAAACCCAACAAAACATCCCCCATTGATATAACTGAGATACTGAGTGGTGTTAAAACCAAAATCAATCACTTTCTCTTTTCTTAGAGCATATGACAAACTTCGCAACAATACACTGAGAGGAATATTATTCAAATAATGTTATTGTTGTCTTTTCCTTTCCAAACAAGATTGATTTCCACACTGCCGGGATTCTGTTTATTTTATGTGTAGTTGATGATATATTCGTGAATGATCGTTCTGCGTTAAGAAACTGATCGGACATGATTGCATTTTCAACATGACTTCTGATCGGATCGCGGCGTTCTGAAATTTAGAAAAGAACTCGTCAATTAAAAATATGAACATAGCGTTTGAACTTTGAATTGTTACAGTTGGAGACGGCTACAGTGACATGAGCGACACAACCTCCACCGGCACACCCCCTCCGGCTGCCCCCCGGGGGCCACGGAACCCCAGCAACGGGACACACAAGGAGCGAGGGGCGCTCACAGAGCGGGCGTCTTGTTCCCAGGGGGACAAGCGAGGGGGACAAAAGACAGGCAGCACGTCCAAGCGGGCAACCAGGTACACCCGCCTCCACTCCTGGCCGGTATCAGTCCATCCTCATTTATGCAGGGTATTATATCTTCATTCCATTATGATAAGTACCCTGGATACTTCCGTTACGCCAGCCCCTCAATCGTTTCCATCTCACAGGAGAGACATTTTTCATTGTCGTGTCATTCGGGCTGTTGTATTCATCGTAACAAATAGAGATATTATACACTGGATATTTGAGGATGGTATCGATCATTAGACTGGATATTCAAATACCTTTTTTGTCAATAGTTGAAAGATATTTCCTAGATAATGTTGATCCCTGTTTGTTTGTTTGTTCTTTAACGCCGCACTCAGCAATATTCCAGCAATATGACGGCGGTCTGTAAATAATCGAGTCTGGACCCAGACAATCCAGTGATTGACATCATGAGCATCGATCCACGCAATTGGGATACGATGACATGCACCAACCAAGTCACCGAGCCTGACCACCCGAACCCGTTAAGCGTAGTCGCCTTTTTACGGCAAGTATGGGTTGCTGAAGACCTATTCTGATCAGGATGTTCACGGGTGACAGGGCTATTTGGACTGTATATAAACCGAACCTTCAAGGCATCCAGATATATGTGTAGACACGTTGATAATTGTCCAATTAATTGCATTTCAGTAATACTGTATGGCTACGGGCCTATGGTGCTTATACTCATCAACAGAAGTTAAAGGACACCCGATTTTTACACATGACTATATTTAATCGTCCGTTTTGTAACTTCTTCTGAATAGTATATGTAAAGAAAACAGATAAGTATTTCCATTCAGAAAAATACCCTGGACATATTTGGTACAAGGCTTCGTTGAGAGTTCGATTCCAATGACAGGCAGCTGATATTAGTCATCCAATTTAATTGCACTCATGGGCGAGAGAAATTGCAAAGTTATGATAAGAGAAATTGCAATGATGACGACGCTTTTGAATCGCAACAATAGAGGCGAATGTAGCCTTACATGTATCCTACGAGAGCCTTTTAGGGCCATTTGTTCTTTTCTTTTTCTTCTTAAAATACTAAGATGGTAGGTTGACATGTCAAGATACTAAGTTGAAATTTCAAGGTAATATCTTAAAATTGCAACTTATCTTGAAATTCCAAGATCAATATCTTGAAATCACAACTTATGTAATCTTGAAATCTTGACAAGATCCCCGGCCGCGTCATACCAAAAGACGTTAAAAGATGGTACCTCTTGTTACCCTGTCTGGTGCTCGGCATAAAGGGGCTAAAACAAGGACTGGTCGGCTCGGAGTCAGTATACTGTGTCTGAGTGGCGTATTCATGTTAAACTGCGGCATGGTATCTCAGTGGGCTGGCACTATGAATCGTCATCAGTCCGGACTAGTACAAGCAGCCACCCACACACGTGCATGCACGTCGCTATGTAAGTGCAATAATCTTGGACGCGACGTTAAACCCAGTTTCACCTCACGTATGTTGACAAACGGTTGGTGTGTTTACTTTCATCATATATTACAGAATATCATCAGAGGTGGAAGTGTTCCCGTCAGATTCCAATAAAGGTAAATATACTTTTCATATGTTATGTGGGGTGCTAGCCTAATGTTTTGTACTGTGAACCTCTTTAACTCGGACTCTGTTTCTAATGTCCATTTGTCAGTAGGACGATATATCCTTGTGATCCCGACAGTGTCCGCGTGAATACAATATTCTAACATCGCCTGTCTCGAACAACGGACAACTCGACATTCATTCTCTTCCAAGAATTTCGAGGGGGCACGGGTGGCCCAGTCGTCTAAGGCGCCGCGATTCGCTGTGCAGAGTTGCGTCCCTTGGGCACGCCAGAAACCTATGATTGTGGGTTCGAATCCCGGTTCACTCCGATTATGTTTCTAGGTTTGTCAGCACCATACCCGTGCTCGTGGGTTTCACCGAAGTGGTAAACAGTCTGAGACCTGCATCACTTCGGGCTTTCCTCCCACATTAAGCTGACACGCCATGATATAACTGGAATACTGTTAAAAGCGGCGTTAAACCAAACTCACTCACTCCAAGAATTTCGAGATGTCATTGTAGTTATGTATCCGTTTCGAGTACATTATGAGTACAAAACATTATATACTGTTCAAAATAGGTTAGGGATCATGAATATTTTTGTTGTGAATATTGAGAACTAAATTAATAAAAAAACATATCCAACAAAATATTCAAGATCCCAAAGGTGTTTTGTTAATGATTTATACTTTGCTTTGCTTTTTTTTTTTTGAACGACAGATACAAATGGTGCCGGGACGCTCTACGCCTCTATTTAAACGTAAAAGGCGACTATGCTTGTCGTAAAAGGCGACCATACTTTCGTAAGAGGCGAATAACGGGATCGGACGGTCAGGCTCACTGACTTGGTTGATGCTTGTCATTGTATCCCAATTGCGTGGATCGATGCTCGTGATGTCAACCACTGGATTGTCTGGTCCAGACTCGATTATTTACAGACCGCCGTCATATAGCTGGAATATTGCTGAGTGCGGCGTTATAAACCAAACAACAAACCTCTATTTAAACATTTGCTGTTTCTGCAGGTGTGAGAAGTCATTCGTCCAAGCACGGCAAGCGCCCACCATACTCATCAACCGAGGAGGCTTTTCTACGGGGGGCCAGGTAGGCCATCATGCTTTCACAGAGGAAATGGTTCTACCTGTCATGTGTATTTTCATATTGACCTACATACTACAGGAAATGTACACTGTATAACAATTGATGTTTTTGTTAATTGAAATGGCACTTGCGTTTTTTAAAGAAATACTTTGGTTTTTCTTATTAGGTTCCAATAACTATTAAAAACTCAAAATATAAAATAAAATAAAATCCTTCTCAGGCGGAGGTTCAAAAACTAAAACCCCATGACCCCTTCTTGTCTTCCATAGCTGTACATTGTTCAATAACCAGGAAATTGTATTTCTTTTTTTCACGAAGATTTTGTCATTTCAAAAGAAAATAAACCAATGCCAGATATTTTTCAAAACAATTCTAACAGGAAAATATATATTTTAAAGTTGCACAACCTCCAACAACTTCCCGAGGCAAGCGTGTCAACTTGCCTTTATCAAAGCCTAGTGGAAACAAGACTTTGATTAAAAAAGCCGCATCCGTAGTCTTGTGGTAGAGTGTCCGCCCGGAGAGCGGAAGGTCCGGGGTTCGATCCCCGGCCGCGTCATACCAAAGACGTTAAAAGATGGTACTTGTTGTTACCCTGTCTGGCGCTCGACATTAAGGGGATAAAACAAGGACTGGTCGGCTCGGAGTCAGTATACTGTGTCTGAGTGGGGTATTCATGTTAAACTACGGCATGGTATCTCAGTGAGCTAGCACTATAAATCGGCATCAGTCCGGACTAGTACAAGCAGCAACACACACACACACGTGCATGCACGTCGCTATATAAGTGCAATAATCTTGGACGCGACGTTAAACCCCATTTCACCTCACCTCACCTGATTAAAAAAAATGACTAGTGGATGCTCTTGCCTCGAGAAGATGACCTTCTAAAGTTGAAAAATGTAACCAACAAGATTTGTAACTTGAGATCGGAATCTCTCAAACCTCTCTTTTTATTAACCGGGGGCGGTCGGGTAGCCTAGTGGTTAAAGCGTTCGCTCGTCACGCCGAAGACCCGGGTTCGATTCCCGACATGGGTACAATGTGTGAAGCCCATTTCTGGTGTCCCCCGTCGTGATATTGCTGGAATATTGCTGGAATATTGCTAAAAGCGGCGTAAAACCATACTCACTCACTCACTTAATTAACCGTAACCGTGGTTTGATACGTCTTTCTCGGGTGGCCATTTAAATTGTTTGACGTTTACATAGACTGTATATAAGAGATAGGATCTGTCCTTCTCTTAGAGCCATCTCGGCCCCTATCAACTACGACGAGTACTTAAAGGCCCCCTACTTGAACGACTTCGACGCCCTGTTTGGCGAGGTCGAGCCGGAGCCGACGGGGGAGAGATACGTGGTGTTCGAGGACAGCTCCGACGACGACAACACGGAGACAGACGTCCGCAACATGGAGGGGAGGTTGAGGATGTCGTTGCAGCAGATGAAGGAGCAGGTTCTGGGAACGGTGAGTGTTCTGTGTTCATCTGTAAAATGTCCACCATGAAAGCAGTACTCTTCAATCTACTGTTGCCTTCACGAGTACCTGTAGTGTGAGAATTTAGGGAGTGCAATAATAAATACTATTTGGAGCATAAAGTCTGAAACCAAACGGTACATTGGACAATCACAATAACTAACACCGAACGCAAAAACACACATCATCACGGAACGATTCTTTTCAGAAATATGCGAATGTTCTAGCGATCCTGAACCATATTTTTCTAAATATAAACTTTTGTAACTATCATAATTTACAAATTAAAATCGTGTTGAAACTTTTATAGTTTACAAAGGATACGGTTTGTGAACTGTGAACCTTTATCATTTGTGAACTAGAATAGTTTACATTTTTTGTAAACGCTTTGTAAACTGTTGACTGTTTAACTGAAACGATGACAGTTTACAAACTTAGAAACTGTATTTTTTTTCGACCACATGCATGTCTTGAGAACTACTTGAAAGCACATCGGACGCATGGAAAGTGAGAATAAAAAACAGATTAAGACTAATCTTATGATTTTCAACACAAAACGATCACATTCTGAAAGTAATTGGGGGAAGAAAAGTAGGTAGGATTTTTTCTAGAACCGACGGTATTGTAGCCTTGGCCTTCACTCCTATTGGCAGATCATGTTCAATCAAGTCTCGAACACCTGGTGCCATCACTGTTCCAAATGACTCATAAGTGACTTCTTTCAGTGGCATTTAGAAGTTGGTGTGATGAAGTAAGACGAGTTCTATGTATGAACAACTTCTTTATTACAATTAGTGCGACATTTCGGTGTAGATCCTAACACCTTTATCAAGCAAGTGATGGATAGTGCTAAACAACATAGGTATATATACTTATTAACATCAATGTTTATACAGTAAATGGTTGATGGACACAGAGAGCTGATTAAGATAATATGAAGCCAGTGGATGACTAATGAACACAGAGTCAACAAGCAGACTGATAGAGATGATGGAAGCCAGTGGAATAATTGGATGGACATAGGGATTTAGCAATTAGGTGATGGTAAGCAGGCGGGATGTAGTAGCCTTGGTCTCTGTTCATTGCTGGCTGGATCCTTTTGATGTAGATAGCTTCTAGGAGTTAATTTTGAGTCATTTTTTTTGTACTGAGATCTTGTGTTCTTTTATTTTAATGGGTAGGGGCCTGGATGTTTCGCCTACATAGGAGTCTCCACAGTCACAATACAACGTGACTGTGGCGAGAAACATCCATCACTTGCTTGATAAAGGTGTCAGGATCTACACCGAAACGTCGAACTAATTGTAATAAAGAAGTTGTTCATCCATAGAACTCGTCTTACTTGACTCATAAGTGTTCTTGGATTGAATCTTCCATTTTGTTGGAAGTGTGTTCTACTTGTGAACTCATGCCAGACAGATAAAATACGATTTTGGTCACCCAAAGCTGATTATTTGTTCTTCATAGTTCGTCCATACGACGACCGACATGTTTGAAGGACAATTATATTTCTGTTCCAGCTCTCGGGGATGGAAGCGTTCCGGTCCTTCCTCCACGACACGGCGGGTCTGAGTCTGCTCAACTTCTGGCTGGACTGCGAGTTCTACAAGGACTCCATGCAGGATGAGGAAGAGGACTCCTCCCTGGAGACAAGGAACAGGTTGTTCAGGTGGGGGCTCGGCGCAGCACGGACTGATCAGTGGACTTCAGGGGTGGTGGGGTGGGCGTGGTGACTACCGGACACATAAGGTGAGGTGAGGTGAAATGGGGTTTAACGTCGCGTCCAAGATTATTGCACTTATATAGCGACGTGCATGTACGTGTGTGTGTGTTTGTGTGGCTGCTTGTACTAGTCCGGACTGATGCCGATTTATAGTGCTAGCTCACTGAGATACCATGCCGCAGTTAAACATGAATACCCCACTCAGACACAGTATACTGACTCCGAGCCGACCAGTCCTTGTTTTATCCCCTTAATGTCGAGCGCCAGACAGGGTAACAACAAGTACCATCTTTTAACGTCTTTTGGTATGACGCGGCCGGGGATCGAACCCCGGACCTTCCGCTCTCCGGGCGGACGCTCTACCACTAGACCACGGAGGCGGCCCTGACACATCAGACACCACTGGGGCGGGGGTGGGGGATGTGTACATAAACTCAAGAGACCATATATACCACTCACAAGATCACCAGAACTTCTTATGAGTGGTATACATAACGATATAGGATAAGTTGTTTGTTGTTTAACGCTGCACTCAGCAGTATTCCAGCTATATGACGGCGGTCTGTAAATAATCGAATCTTGATCAGACAATCCAGTGATTGGCTTCATATGCATGAGCATCGATCTACGCAATTGGGATACGATGACATTCATCAACCAAGTCAGCAAGTCTGACCACCGAATCCCGTTAGTTCCCTTTTACGACTTGCGTGGGTTGCAATTCTAACCTGGATCTTCACAGGTGATGTAGGGTAAGAAATGGATGCTGTACCAATAGTTATGAGTGAGTGTGTATGGTTTTACACCGCTTTTAGCAATATTCTAGCAATATCACGGCGGGGGACACCGAAAAATGGGCTGCACATATTATACCAATGTGGGGGATCGAACCCGGGTCTTCTTTAACAACCAGGCTACCTGACCGCCCCCAATAATTTTGCCATCTGATCTTCTCTTGCAGAGACATCCAGGACAAGTACAAGCTGAACCTGACCCAGGATGCACGGAACTACATCAGCAAGTCCGCCTCCAACATGTGCCTCAGTCACACCATCTTCCTACGCACCCAGTACGACGTCCTGCGACGGCTGCGGGCCTACTGGGTACCCCGGTTCTTGCTGCATCACGAGAGGATGGAGCCGTTCAGGTAGCCACTGAGTTGGTTGTTTGTGTGTGACATCCCTGGCTGTATCACGAGAGGATGGAGCCGTTCAGGTAGCCACAGAGTTGGTTGGTTGTTTGTGACAACAACATCCCTGGCTGTATCACGGATGCTTGTAAATAACTGCGTCCAACAAGTGGTTGATATTATGACAACCACACCGGTCCAATTTGAGTTGGAGAAAGATCTGACATCGATTTGTGGATCGAAGCCCTGATCAGTTTTTGTCTCGGAAATATTTGGCTGTTGTAAATCAGTAAGCTTATTATAAGGAGGAAAACACGTATTGTAATGCCAAATACATCAATGGCAATATTCGAACAGAAATTATTTAAATATTATTTTTATCATTTAAATTTATCTCTTATATGCTGCCCAGGAGGTCAATTTAGATGGTCAAGCAGTTTGATAACAGGATGTACACAAGGCGCCTTCATTTTATATTACACTCTCTAAAATTGAAAATCCTTTCACAAAAAGAGCTAATTTGTACAGAATATCGTCATTATTAGTTGTGAGCAGGGATATAAACATAATGTGGTAGGATATTCATAATAATATACAGGTATATATCATGAACGTAAATTGGTATAAGCTGGACGTATTAAAAGCACATGTATTCATCATCAAATCCTTCACTACAAAAATTGCATAAAGAGTCTGTAAAATCAAGCAATAGTGGCAATACTATTGGGCCTAGGTTATTTGTGTACGCTTAATACCGTGCTCGTGGGTTTCACCAAAATGGTAATTGCACTGATACGCTGTGGTACAACTATAAATTGTTCAAAGCGGCGTACAAAACACCCACTCACTCACTCTCTCTGTGACGTAGCTACGTGAAGCAGGATCCGGAGACTGTATCGTGGAGCATCAAGAAGACCATGCCCAAGAACCCCGTGCCCTTCTTCCCATCAATCTCCTTGGTGAGGTCAATGCCTCTGCGTCCTGATGACGCGTTGTCGTCGTCCTTGACCTCCAACTGGGACACCGTCACCAAGGGCAACACAAGCAGGGACATCATGTCTGTGCAAGGGAGACGACCGTCGTCGCTTGCCAGACATAATGGGTACGTTTTAACATGTATTAGGTTAGGCTTATTAAAATAAAAGTCTTGTTTAACATGACCTGCCCTCTAAGGAAAAACATGTTTAACTCTAATCTCGTTTTTGCGTTAGATTCCTATGTTTTAGCTTACCGACAGAAGGTCATTAAGAGCATTGTGTCTACTTTTCTCAAGCCGCAGGGGCCGCCTCCGTGGTCTAGTGGTAGAGCGTCCGACCAGAGCGCGGAAGGTCCGGGGTTCGATCCCCGGCCGCGTCATACCAAAAGACGTTAAAAGATGGTACTTGTTGTTACCCTGTCTGGCGCTCGGCATTAAGGGGCTAAAACAAGGACTGGTCGGCTCGGAGTCAATAGACTGAGTCTGATTGGGGTATTCATGTTAAACTGCGGCATGGTATCTCAGTGTGCTAGCACTATAAATCGGCATCAGTCCGGACTAGTACAAGCAGTCACACACACAAACACGTGCATGCACGTCGCTATATAAGTGCAATAATCTTGGACGCGACGTTAAACCCCATTTCACCTCACCTCAAGCCGCAGCGGATGTGGCCAAAAGTGTTCACGTGACGCAGAATCAAATTTATGTAACTTTTATGCAAATATGTGTTCGTCCTCTTTGAATGTATTTCATCTTGAATTCTTACAGCTTATGTTGCTTCAGGTAAGATTGAGTAATTGAATCAAGTCACTGAGCACTCTCTATAATACTAACACGTTTTCTCTAATACAAAACGTATACATTTTCAGGGGACAATTAACAAAATTGTTTTGAAGTCAAAAACAGTCAAACATAACAATTTTCATCGAATGCACGTGCAGCGCACACTACGATGAAACGCAACATCGTAACAATCTGTCCCACGTGATCAAGTGACAATCTGATTGGACAAGAGCATTTAGCTGATAACTTTCAGTTGTTTCAGTTGTGACATGTTTAGAAAAAGATACGGTTTCACAAACACGGTTTAATTTTGTACTATATATTTACTTCAGTGGATTATTTAATGCTCGGTTTTATAACAAACACATGCACTTTATGACGCCTGTAACCACAGGGCGACAATCCTTTCAGCGATATCGCCCTGACTAACTACTCACACTTTCCGAGTTTCGCGGTAAACACAGACAAGAACACCATTGACCTGGCCGTTAACCCTGATGAGTATGCATGACTGGCAAAGTCCATTCTGTTCAAGGGGTGATGGGTATAGACGATCACTACCCAAATGATCGTCTATAGCCATCACCCCTTGAACAGAATGGACTTTGCCACCCATGCATATACTCATCGGGGTTAACGACCAGGTTATTGGTCTTCTTGTATTCAGAGCAGAGCAAGTTACACGCAAAGCTACCCAAGCTTTGCGTGTAACTTGCTCTGCTTTGAATACGGTTCGATGTTCAGTCATAATATTATGATATTTTGCAGAAATCTTAGAATAAATATATATATTATGAGCAGAATCAGATCGAGGCTATGACTTGTCCACGCTTCCCGTGTGATATCTGTGCACATTCCAACCCTGCACTCTTCAGTCAACTAGGCCTTAGCACGTGTTACGCCAACGAATTAAAATTTCTCGCACAGGTTAACACTTCAGTTTGATGTATAGCACGTGTGTTTATACTTCTTACCCTCTTATTCATACAGTAACGTAACACTGAGTTCATCACTAACATTTGCTGCATTACTTCAACATAGGGATTCAACACTACAGGATAAATGTCTGTTTGTTTGTTGTTTAACGCCTCACTCAGCAATATTCCAGCTATGTGACGGCGGTCTGTAAATAATCGAGCCTGGAACAGACAATCCAGTGATTAATACAGTGAGCATCGATCTACGCAGTTAGGATACAATTACATGCATCAACAGAGTCAGCGAGCCTGACCACCCGATTTCTAACCCGGATCTAAACCGGGATCATATACTATTCAAAAGAAGTTAAGGACCATCCGTTTCTTTCACATTGCCATAGTTAATCTGCCATGCCTTGACATCGTGTGTTCTTTAACTTTTTTCAATAATATATATTTAATCAATTAATTTTTTACGTATATATTAATAATTTTGCCCACTGAGTTTCGTTTCCTATTTTAACAATTGCATTACAGTAAACTACGGTTATAACGAACACGCTTATAACGAACTAACTTTTTAGTCCCGACTATATGCTGTAGTTATGCTGTATATATGCTTATAACCAATTACGGTTATAACGAACTAAAATAAGTAGTCCCTTTGAGTTCGTTATAACCGTAGTTTACTGTATTTCTCGAAAAACCTTAAACCGGCTTATGTTTGTAAAGCGCTGAGTGAAATACACTCTCGCTGTTTGTAAACAACCCATATAAACCTGTACATGGAAACATTAATGGTTTTATTTACTAATACTAGTTTAAAACCTCTTATCTGAACAATAACGAAGTTCGTAAAGGTTACGACTCGTGTTAGTAGTTCGAAAGATACACAATAATCTTAATTCCTAATTTGGTGGGGACGTTAACAGACAAGCTAGTTGTAACCGACAAACTCAATACAGCTTTACTGTTAAAGTGAATATAAACATTTTTACTCTGAAAACAATGCGCAGCATCAGTAGGTTGTTAACATCTTTCAGTGCTTGATAAAGGTGTCAGGATCTACACCGAAACGTCGCACTAATTGTAACAAAGAAGTTGTTCATCCATAGAACTCGTCTTACTTCAGGTTGTTAACAGATGATCTAAGCTACTCTGTTTTCTTTTCTGATGTCATGTCTGGTGTCACGTAACATTAGGAATTCTGGTTTGTAGTCCATGTAAACACCTCTCAGAACTATGTAAGGGGCGGTCGGGTAGCCTAGTGGTTAAAGCGTTCGCTCGTCACGCCGAAGACCCGGGTTCGATTCCCGACATGGGTACAACGTGTGAAGCCCATTTCTGGTGTCACCCCGCCCTGATATTGCTGGAATATTGCTAAAAGCGGCGTAAAACTCACTCACTCACCCACTCAGAACTATGGATTGTATTTGAAGAAACGCCTCTTCATGCCTTTTTTTTGGTATCCAGGTCCACCAAGGAACGGTTCCTGCTGGCGCTGAGCGCGGACCGACTAGCCGGCGGACCTTTCCAGAAACATCTTGAAAAGTAAGACGTAGCATTAATTTTGTATTAAAAAAAAATCATTTGTACGACCGTAACAATTCCTGTTTATATATGCAATATAATTTTTGTATGTAATAGGGACTACAGCCAGACCAGTCCAAGTATCGTTGACAGTTATTTCAAGTTGACACATTTTAAGTTTGTTTGTTTGTTTGTTTGTTGTTTAACGCTGCCCAAAGCAATGTTCAAGCTATATGGCGGCGGTCTGTAAATATTCGAGTCTGGACCAGACAATCCAGTGATTGACATCATGAGAATCGATCCACTCAATTGGGATCGATGACATGCATCGACCATGTCGGCGAGCCTGACCACCATATCCCGTCTTTTCGACAAGCATGAGTTGCTGAAGATCTATCCTACCCCGGATCTTCACGGGTCTACATTTAAAGTCGGACGAACAGTCGGTTCAGCCCAGGGCGTTGGTTATTGACGTCAACAAAACAAATAAACAACTTCGGTTATAAAGAACTGTTTTGAGAGTTTCTTCGTGATACCGGCGTTGACTGTATTTAAAAGAGGACAGGTAAACTGTGTTTATGTATATTATGTTCCCCGGCCGCGTCATACCAAAAGACGTTAAAAGGTGCTATTTGTTGTTACCCTGTCTGGCGCTCGGCATTAAGGGGCTGAAACAAGGACTGGTCCGCTCGGAGTCAGTATACTGTGTCTGAGTGGGGTATACATGCTAAACTGCTGCATGGTATCTCAGTGAGCAAGCGCTATAAATCGGCATCAGTCCGGACTAGTACAAGCAGCCACACAGACATGCATGTACGTCGCTCTATAAGTGCAATAATCTTGGACGCGACGTTTAACCCCATTTCACCTCACCTGTAAATAACTTAATCTAGGTTAAATAAACTAGTAGCTGTTGACAACATGGTACCACCTTTGAACGTCTTTTGGTATGACGCGGCCAGGGATCGAACCCCGGACCTTCCGCTCTCCGGGCGGACGCTCTACCACTAGACCACGGAGGCGGTCAGTTATTTACAGGCCGCCGTGATATAGTTGGAATGTTTCTGTGTGCTGTTAACAACAGTCGCCATGTAGCCTATAGTGTGAGTGTGTGTGCCAGGAACGGGGACCAGTCGTTGCTGTCCAACCTGTTGTTCTGGGAGGATGTCACGGAATACGGCGCCACCGAGGACAAGTCTGCAGACCGACTCCTCCGACTACAGCACGCATGGGCCATCTACAACAGGTTCCTGGCTCACGACAGCCCCTACTACGTCGGTATGTGCAATGCAACAAGTTTAAGCCTTCAGCTTGTGAAGACTAAGTTTAATTTAATTGAATCATGCAGTCCACTTAATTCTGCATTCATTTCAAAATATGGAGTAAAATATAGCATACCTGTACTGTGTGGACTTTCGAGTAGATATGACGTTGACGTATACCATGACTGGTTAATATGACGTTAAAATATAACTGTCATCCCAAGTGTGTATGATGAAGTATGGGATGAAGAAACATACTGTCAATTTGTAGTAGATAGGACGTTAACGTATAACATAATTGAGTTGATATGACGTTAACGTATACTATGACTGATTAATATGACGTTAAAATATAACTGGCATCTTAAGTGTGTATGATGTATTATGGGATGAAGAAACATATTGTCAATTTGTAGTAGATAGGACGTTAACGTATAATATAATTGTGTTGTTATGACGTTAACGTATACTATGACTGATTAATATGACGTTAAAATATAACTGGCATCTCAAGTGTGTATGATGTAGTATGGGATGAAGAAAGATATTGTCAATTTGTAGTAGATAGGACGTTAACGTATATCATAATTGTGTTGTTATGACGTTAACGTATACCATGACTGGTTAATATGACGTTAAAATATAACTGGCATCTCAAGTGTGTATGATGTAGTATGGGATGAAGAAAGATATTGTCAATTTGTAGTAGATAGGACGTTAACGTATATCATAATTGTGTTGTTATGACGTTAACGTATACTATGACTGATTAATATGACGTTAAAATATAACTGGCATCTCAAGTGTGTATGATGTAGTATGGAATGAAGAAAGATATTGTCAATTTGTAGTAGATAGGACGTTAACGTATATCATAATTGTGTTATGACGTTAACGTATACTATGACTGATTAATATGACGTTAAAATATAACTGGCATCTCAAGTGTGTATGAGTAGTATGGAATGAAGAAAGATATTGTCAATTTGTAGTAGATATGATGTTAACGTATCACATGATTGTGTTGTTATGACGTTAACGTATACTATGACTAATTAATATGACGTCAAAGTATAACTTGCATCTCAAGAGTGTATGTTGTAGTATTGGATGAAGAAAATATATGGAATTTCGGGTAGATATGACGTTAATGTATAACATGATTTGTTAATATGACCATGACTGGTTAATTTTACGTTAATTATAACATGCATCTCTTGTGTGTATGATGAAGTTTGGGATGAAGAAAATATGAGGAATTGCGGGTAGATATGACATTAACGTATACCATGGCTGGTTAATATGACGTTAAATATTACATGCATCTCTAGTGTGTATGATGAAGTTTGGGATGAAGAAAATATGAGGAATTTCGGGTAGATATGACATTAACCTATACCATGACTGGTATGACGTTAAAGTATGACATGACTCCAGTGTGCATGGTGGCGTTTGGGAGGAAGAAAGGATGAAGAGTTAGGGGCACGTACTGTAAGTTTATATATGTTTATGTTGTCTGAGACGGACAGGAGCATTATCATCAAACACGGAATTCAACAAGGGTGATAGTGTCAGATATTTTAGAACTAAAATGTTCCATTATACACTTTTCAAAAATTCATTTAGTCTAGAGTTGTATTTGTCTGCTATCACTATCAAAAAATTTCGTGTTGCACTAGCCCAGTTTCACTGTATCTCCCACTTTCTCCATATTGAGACTGGTAGATACGTTAATACTCCACGAGAGCAGAGATTGTGCAATAGTTGCAACCAAAGATATGTCGAGAATGAATATCATTTTTTATTAATTTGTAACGCTTATGATGAACTTCGTCTTCAGTATTTACCACAGAAGTATTTTGTACATCCCACTCTTGCTAAATTCAATATGCTTATGGCGGTAAACAAAGAAACTGTTATTAGAAATGTTGCAACTTTTATATACCATGCTATGAATGTTAGACTCCAAACACTAAGCCTATAAATGTTAATGATAGACCAAATATTGTACCATGGGCCGCTGGCCTACACATGTACATGAATAAAGAATTGAAGTAGTGTCAGATATGCCACGTCTTCGCTGTTTGTGATTCCCCAGGTCTCCCCGACTCTATACGAGATCGCCTCCACCAGAGCCTCCTGGAGGCTCGGGACTTCGTGGAGGCTTCCATCTACGACTCCGCCAAGTACCAGGCCGTGGACCGACTCGAGAAAGCCTGGATCAGGTTCCTGAAGGAAGACCTCAAGACTTTCCTAGAGTGAGATGGAACACTGTCGTTGTATCTTGTCCTTTGTAACTATATGTACGGCACTTAAGGCTAGTATTGTACGTGACAATTTTAAGTTGTAATGAGGGGGGCGTTGCAAGCTTGAAGTAAGCAAATTAATCGCTTATCCGGGGGTCTGCAACAGCTTGAGTGAGTGAGTGAGTGAGTTTGGTTTAACGCCGCTTTTAACAATATTCCAGTTATATCGCGGCGTGTCAGCTTAATGTGGGAGGAAAGCCCGAAGTGATGCAGGTCTCAGACGTTTACCACTTCGGTGAAACCCACGAGCACGGGTATGGTGCTGACAAACCTAGAAACATAATTGGGGCGAACCGGGATTCGAACCCACAATCATAGGTTTCTGGCGTGCCCAAGGGACGCAACTCTGCACAGCGAATCGCGGCGCCTTAGACGACTGGGCCACCCGTGCCCCCGGTTTGAGAATGAAGCGACCACAGTCAGCGATTGGTACGATTGCAAACGGGTGTAGGTTAGCGCCCAGTTGTAAGGCGAATCGCTGTACATCGCTTGCAATCAATTGGCGATCTGTAACGCACCCCAGGACTTGTTTGTGACCATTTCCTTAAAATATGACCGTTGGTTTCAGTGAGGGATTGTTTCAGCTAGGGATGGTTTCGGTGCTTCAAAATAAATTATTCAGGATTATTAACAAGTATTTTTAATCGGTGTTATTTGTTATTTATGATCCCAAACTGTCACAATTAGATTTTCTTGATGTTGCCTGCTTCATTTACACCACTCAAATAACTGAATTAATCACTTCCAGACACTGGCGGGGTCACGGGTGGCCCAGTCGTCTAAGGCGCCGCGATTCGCTGTGCAGAGTTGCGTCCCTTCGGCACGCCAGAAACCTATGATTGTGTGTTCGAATCCCGGTTCACCCAAATTATGTTTCTAGGTTTGTCAGCACCATACCCGTGCTCGTGGGTTTCACCGAAGTGTTAAACGTCTGAGACCTGCATCACTTCGGGCTTTCCTCCCACATTAAGCTGACACGCCGTGATATAACTGGAATACTGTTAAAAGCCGCGTTAAACCCAATTCACTCACTCACTCACTCACTCCATACACTGGCGATTCCTCCTTCAATGCCGATTCCTCCTTTTTTCTGACTCATGTTTTTTCCGGTAAAAAATACGCCCACTGTACCCCGTGCTATCAAATTATTGCGTATCTTGTGGTCATGTTCCTTGGCTTGGCTTATCACGTGTCATTCCGACCATTGCTCATATATTTCGTCACTAGTTTGTCTGGGTGCCGTTGTACAAAGCGATCTTAGCGCTTAGGTGACCGAAACTCCCACACCTTAACATAGACTTACGACACTCGTAGCGCTGAAGTTGTTTTGTACAAGACACCGAGGTCTCTTGTTAGGCCATGTTGACCTAGCTGGGTCATTGCATACTGCAGCAACATTCACTCATCCCCCATTGATCTATTCCTCCACTAGTTGCCGAGTGCGTCCAGATGCGGACAGTCCTCCTAGCACTGCCGACGCCATTGAGATTACCGTCACCGACACGGAGGTGGTCATCAAACGACCTCGACCTTGGGTCAGAAGGTAAACGAGCATGTTCTATACAATAACATCAGCACTGAGGATTAACTGCCAGCACTGCTTAGTGTTCTCTCTGATGAAGGGCTTAAATATGTGTAACAGGATCGTGATGGTAGCTTTCTAGGCACCGCTTGTATACGCACAGATTTGTCGTGAATATCTAGCCATCTTAACGTTGTGGACCGATTGGTGAAGTTTGGTTACTAATTCATAAGATGGAAATAATTCATAAGATGGAAACAGTTCGTAATGTGGAAACAATTCGTAACATGGAAATAATTCATTAGATGGAAACAATTGATAAAATGGAACCAATTCGTATGATGTAAACAATTCGTAAGGTGGAAACAATTCGTAAGATGGAACCAATTCGTAAGATGGAACCAATTCAAAAGATGGAACCAATTCATAAAAGGAACCAATTCATAAGATGGAAACAATTCGTAAGATGAAAACAATTCGTAAGATGGAACCAATTCATAAGATGGAAATAATTCATAAGATGGAACCAATTCATAAGATTGAAACAGTTCATAAGGTGTACCCAACTCGTAAGATGGAACCAATTCATTAAATGGAAACAATTTTTAATGAGTTGGATATTTAATGTTGCACGTATGTATAGTACATATTTGCGAACTGTTTATTGTTATATACATGTTTATAATCCCGTGAAGATTCCGGGTTAGAATAGGTCTTGGACAACCCGTGCTTATCGTAATAGGCGACTGAAGGTATCGGTTGTCAAGCTCGCTGACTTGGTTGATGCATGCCACTGTATCCCAATGAAGTAGATCAATGCTTATGATGTCAATCACTGGATTGACTGGTCCACACGCGATTATTTGGAGACCACCGTCACATAGCTGTAATAGTGCTGGGTGCGGCACACAAACAAACAAACCTATTTAAACTTAGATATTATTATTAATTTTGTATGGGTTTAGTTTGGTGCAAGTGGCACAATTTCATTTCCATATAATCTCCAAACTAACTGCATGGAATAGAGCGTATATGTACCCCATATAAGTCAACTAGCGTCTCCAACAATCTGATGTCATTTTCCTGATGCATGAGCTGGAACGTTGGTTTTCCTCTATTGGTATTATTTGATTATACTGACTGCATGCTTTACGTCTTGTAATAGATTCTTACCAAACCAAAATTACTTTATCACACATGCTTTATATCTCAAACCGTCTCATTAATTTTTCATTTCGTATTCACGTCTATCCGACCAATTTTCGATCACCTTTATTGTCCTCAGGGGTTTCAATGACGGTATCGATAAATCACTGGGTCACGTTCCACAAAGCGATTGTATCTCCTACTTGACATTGTAATCAGATCTTTACTCAGATACGATCATTACTCAGATCAACGGATCTGATTTTAATGATACTGGTATATCCCTTACTTTAACATTGACTTCTGGCAATCGTGGCTCTAAGATCGCTGTATGGATCGGGTCCATGGTCCAACTTGCTATCGAAGATCTACGACTTTTCAAACTTTTATACTTAACATTAGACTCTTAAAAATCGTAGGCCTATTAGCGCTACGATCGTTTGTGCAATAAGCTTAATGCCTCTTCAACGACACGACCTTAGCGCCACTGTTCGTTTTAGTCTATGTTGTAGTATGAGAGTACGACAGTTGACATATTTTAGAAAGATTCCATTGTCTGAAAGCCTAGTTCAGGGTACAAATAAATAAAAATCGCCTGACCCACTTTTTCATACAATATTTTATACGTATACAAACATCAAACGTTTGTGTTCGTACACTATTTAAAGGAAGCCATCGATCGATACCCAAAGCCTGGAAGACCTCAAGTAACAGGTGACCAAAATACGTCAAAATGAAACGACACCAGTTTATAATTGCCAGATGAGATTTAAGTGTTTAAAAACAAATGTACAATCTCATTACAATCAGATCATAGTGCTCGCTGGTCGAAAAATGTGACCCCCAAAATAGCACGAATCATTTTGGTATAAAGCAGCAATTGGAATGAGCGTTTGATGGCTACCTTTAAAGGTGAAAACTCAATGTATGGACTGCACGTCGGCATGTTTCCGTGTCAGCCTGTCTCCCCCGTGTGTCTGATGCCATGCCTTCGTTTCCTTCTCTAGGCTCCAGCCGCTCAGGTAACTGTGTGACGTTATACTCTCCAGACTGGGGTGGCTTGTCTGTGTGTAACTGGAGTGATTCAATTGTTATTTAGTGTTCCTTCACCCTGTCTTTTTTGTTCAACACTGTTCAAGTTTTTTATGCACGTTTTCAGCTGATTTGAAATAATTTGAATAATATTTGAAATTGCACTTCAGAACATCCTCACTCACTAGCCAATGTTGACCAAGGACAATTCTCATGATGATCTGACCGACGGTTGCTGAAAAGCATGCTATTTACAGATTATCACAAATGTTTAGTTAAAAATGCGTTAACAAGTAAAAAGCGCAAAGATATCCTTGCTCCGTTTTTTGTATGATCTGCAAATATGTAAATCCAGATCTTTCTTTAGGCGATAACATTTTGAATTTACAATAAACTTACTACCGTTCGCTTCCCACTTGACTTTGAAGTATTTTCCTGCAGAACATTGAACAAAACTGTTTTATTTTCTACATTGCATCTATAAGAACATAACCATATGGTATAAACTTCATAACAATAATTATTCACTTTATAAATGTGTGTTTTACTTTATTTATGATATGTATTCCTTAACTGGCAGAAGGTCCCTTTGGTACAAAACTTACATGCAGGGTAGCTCAGTGGTTAGAGCGTTCGCTCGTCATGTTGAACACGGTTCAATTCCCCTCGAATTGATGGAAAGCTCTACTAAATCATTACATACTTGTAAGATATATTTACCTAATCAACTGTAAAAGGCTTGTTAAAATATTGTTGTGGTTTCTCACGATCCGCCCGTCCCTAAAATGCCCCCGCCTATATTTTTATATATACTTTAAGCACTGTTAAGAACAATTGTTTCATCTCAAGTTTCGTTTTTCACCGGAGTCGGACCATTTTGTTCACGGAATGATATTCAGAATGTGTCATACTCAAATGGAAACCGAGCCGTGGTAACCATGGCAACGGGCCCATCTCTTCATGCTTCGAACGTGGCCAAAACAGAATCACAAGTAACAAGTTTACTTTAATATTTACCAATCTGCTAAAATATAATTAAAAAAATAAAATCCCCTACCTTCAGCCACAGGTTCATGAGAAACAGGAATATTATTTTAACTGACCTGACGGGAAGGTTTACGTGTGTGAAGGTGTATAAGATGCTAGGATTGTGATGTATTGTGTGTATCCAGTGTTAAGTAGACAGTTTCCCTTAGTGAAGTGTATGTGTTTGAACCTCTACTAATCTTCCCACTTCTTCAGTACACCCTTCTGTGCTACCTCCATACATCGTCAATACTTCACTTTGAATACAAGACGTTCCACCCGTGAATACATACCCATGGAAGGTTAAAGGACCTACTCCGTGCATGACACTACCAGTTCCTGCCAATAAACCAATGTATGGTAGGGACACCCAGCGGGACATGGGACCAATCTCATTAAAATAAGATCTTAGTTCCCGCTATCGCTATACAAAGATCTGAGGACATCCCATTACAGGTCACGTCAGTACGACCTTTCATCCGACCAATCAAAGCGTCGCTTACCAGATCATGAAAGTGACAGTCGGGATGTGTTTTCTAATCATGCAACCTCGAAAACGTTAACAAGGTGTTTTCCGAACGACAGTTACGGCCCGTACGACTGATTCCGTCCAAATTATCGTCTATCTCTCGCTTCCATAGGAGAAACATTTGAACGGAAGAGGCGTTGCACAGTACGTGGGACGGACTGCCATACAATCACAACCATATATTAGACATTCCGGAATGTTCGTTTGTTCAATTTTCAAATTTTTAATCGAGAACTGTGTCCAGATATTTTTCAAGCGTAGTCTGAAATTGAAGTCGCCAGGTCGCCAGGGTAAAGGGTAAAGCTCGAGTAAGCTGCTTTCTTATTGGCTGATTTCAGTGGTCGGTCAAAGTTCGCGAAAGGTCGTTCTGACGTGATCCCCGTAATAGGATGTCCTCAGATCTTTGTTCAGCGGCAGCGAGAACTTAGATATGATTTTAATTAGATTGGACATGGGACACGTTGTAGAGAGGCATCCGAGTCGTTAGTGCCATGGAAAAGAACACTCGGAACAAGGCTTTGATTCACTGGTTTAAAGTAGGGAATGACTGTTCTCTGGCGTTGACGTTTAAGGAACTACATCACAGAGCGGCCGTATGTATTCACGGCTGATGAAAGAACGCAATGTATACACACTGGGAAGTACTGGCGATGCGTACATAGTTATACGATACCTGCATGTTTCAGTTCAACATCTTTCTATTCAGCATCTTGATTAAACCTTCATCTGAAACCATTTTCAATTTTATTTATTAACTTATATCAATTCATCCTAAGGTGTCCCCCGCCGTGATGTTGCTGGAATATTGCTAAAAGCGGCGTAAAACCAAAGTCACTCACTCATCCTAAAATTGTTTTATTTTATAAATCTTTGTTCAGATGGCTGTCTTTCATTTTAAGGAAGGTATGTAAATTCAATAACAAATATTGAACAGATATTTTGTACACTTGTCCATAAGGCCCTGTTTTGTAAAAAGGGCATGGAATTCCTCTCTATTAGTGTGTCCTCAACCTTACTTAAATCATTTTAAGGGTTCCTGGATCTACGGCATCTGAGAGGGCACGACGACTACAGCGTGCATTACATGTGGCCGAAGACATTGACTTCGACAGGAGGGCATTGAATAAAAAGTTACGTATTGAACGTCGCAAGTTGATGGAGAAGGAACGCAAGAAAGCTGTTAAGGCTGCATACGCCAGACAGAAAGAGGCTAAACTAAAGAAGGGGTCCAAGGTGAGGGTTATATCAAAGTGTTGCCTACGACAGTCAATACTTGTGTAGAAATGTGCTCAGGGGTCTCGGCGACGTCATTCCTGCGCCAGGATCCGCTGTTTTGAATTCTAGATTTGTCCCTAATATGAATCTTGGTTTGTCAGCACGTGTTCGTGGTTTCAACAAACTGGTAAACGTCTACAGCCTACGTCACTTCTGATTTTCTTTCCACAATAACCTGGCATCCGGTGATGTGGTTAAAATAGTGTTGTGCTTAAATAGTGTACATTGTTAAGGGCATTCCGTACTTGTAATAACTGACATTTTCAAAACAATCTGATTTGTCCCGTCGGTTAGATTAAAACGTAAAATGCATGATATATCAACAAGCTCTTCCATGCCATGCTCGCTTTTTATGTATCGTCATAGCTGCAAATATATAGCTTAAACGTGTGTGCATATACTGTACAGAAATACTTCTTTTTGCGGTTAGTTTATTGAGTGAACAAGTTAGCCAATACCTGCACGGCTACTCCACAGCAAAGATTATCCAGTGGGACAGCGCCCTCGGGTATCACGCCATCCGTCGTCATGTTAACATTGTTCATATTTTCAGAGGAAATAATTATAATACATATTGAAGCCATTTTGTTCATATTTTCTTATGGAGGGTGTGAGATTTCATTTAAGGGTACTTTTATGTACTAGAGCAAAACTGGTGGTGATTTCCAGACTATACACCGACAAATATGAATGGAATATTATGAAATAGAATTTGAAGATATTTCATGTTCTTCGGCCAGTATTAACCAGGTTAAAAGTCCCATGTTCATGATATACTTGGGCTATTGTTGGTTTCTAAATCAGATCCAGTATTGATGGACAGACCATATTCAATGTTTCTTGACTACTTCTGCGTCTGTCTGGTTACTATTTATTATATATTTTTTCATATTCGATTTCGGGGCAGGACAATTTAAACAAAGGTCATTATCATTTTACAACCAGTAGTCGTTATATCATAGAGGTCGGTACAATAGTGAATCATGTTATGCTTCATAAGAAATATAATTTATCAGAAAAGTCTTTGCTCCAGTTTGATTTTAGCGACGACGAATCAGAGAACTCTAGAAGTCGATCTGTGAGTTGATAGTTCGGCCATGCCACTTCTAGAAAACTGCAGATTATACTGAATACAGTTTTATACGTCCGCCTCTAGTCTGGAGCTTTTATACGTCCTCATCTAGTCTGGAGCCTTTGTACAGCCATCTCTAGTCTGGAGCCTTTATACGTCCTCATCTAGTCTGGAGCCTTTATCCATCCATCTCTAGTCTGGAGCCTTTATACATCCACCTCTAGTCTGGAGCTGTCCTAAGCCTTGCTATGTAAACTTCAACTAACCAGATTTAGATACTTTATTCTATTCGTTTTTCATTATTCTGTATCGTTTTTACATTTTCAAAACTCATTTTATGCTTAGGTTGGCATGGTTTTTTTATTACGTTTTTATTTTTATCATGTTTTTCTTTTTTCTTCGTTGGCTTGTAATTTGAATCTTTTATCGCTGTAACGTATTCCTGCGTTATTGCACCAGATCATGGCTGTTTGATGTTATAAGTTTGCATGAATTGCTTGTCCCCTGCTTATGCCATGACATCAAGGTACTAACAGCATGACACGTTAGGCAGCTGATTGAATGCCTATTATATATATATTCAAATTCCAGCTATTTATTTTTGCTTTGATACTTGGATATGCTTTATTGATAAATGCACTTCCATTTTGCATGTTTGCGCATTCGTTCTACAAAGACACAGACGCTATATGACCTTGACTCTTAGTCCACATCAGCTAATGTATGGTAGATTTTCTACTGTTGGGACCCTACTAGCATCATCCACCGGTCTGGAATGGAACCGGAGAGTAGAGAGGCTAGGATTTTTTATCAAATTAGATATTTTCATCTACAGCTACAATCCAATTTTTAAAAATTAAAAACCATGTCCTGAATAATTAATTTATTTTAAGGAAAGCACTTGCAATTATGTAATTATTTATTTCCCCACAGTCTGAGGACTAATTATAATGTTCAAGATTTTACGGGGACAGTTTATCTTTTTGAAAAATTAATTGTTATTTCCCTCTCTCCCGAAAATATATAATGGTCGGTATGTTGAGATCACTCCATGGATTCGCCCCGATTGTTTCTAGGTTTGTCAGCACCATACCCGTGCTTGTGGGTTTCACCGAAGTGGTAAACGTCTAAGACCTGCATAACTTCGGCTTTCTTCCCACATTAAGCTGACACGCCGCGATATAACTGGAATACTGTTAAAAGCGGCGTTAAACCCAACTCACTCACTCACTCACTCCATGGAACTTGTGGACACATATTGTGTTTACATCTTTTATTAAAAACAGGGGTCGTGAGGTCTCTGTTCAGATCTTTCAGTCAGTATAAGAGTAATAATATAAAACGCTAACATCTAAGAGTAACCAGTCTCGATTATCTGCTGAAACGGCCTCCATTGGATCACTGGAAACGGCCTCAATTGGATCACTGAAACGGCCTCCATTGGATCACTGAAACGGCCTCCATTGGATTACTGAAACGGCCTCCATTGGATCACTGAAACGGCCTCCATTGGATCACTGAAACGGCCTCAATTGGATCACTGAAACGGCCTCCATTGGATCACTGAAACGGCCTCCATTGGATCACTGGAAACGGCCTCCATTGGATCACTGGAGACGGCCTCCATTGGATCACTGGAAACGGCCTCCATTGGATCACTGAAACGGCCTCCATTGGATCACTGAAACGGCCTCCAATGGATCACTGGAAACGGCCTCCATTGGATCACTGGAAACGGCCTCCAATGGATCACTGGAAACGGCCTCCATTGGATCACTGGAAACGGCCTCCAATGGATCACTGGAAACGGCCTCCATTGGATCACTGGAATCAGTGGTGACACCAGATGTTCACGAAACTTCAAAAGGCTAACATCCAAATCGAAATAACAAAGAAACATGTGATGATTGGTTTTCCAGAAAAGCGCAATGACCCTCTAAATATCATCTTTTTGATAACAAAAGATCTTATATTTAAAAAGTGAGTTATTTCAAGTCTTTCAGAACGAAATAAGAAACTACTACAACCTTACTAAATGTTCAGCCATCATTGAGTGTGACATTGGCCTATTCTATAAATTTTGGTCAATTTGCCATCATCCATTTAGATGATAAATCAACTATGTACTGGAATGTCACATTTTATCAAATAAATGTAAAATGATTGAAAAAAGAAAAAAGAAAAAAAAAAGAAAAGAAAAGATGTTCACGAAACACATTCACTGATCTAGTATTTAAAGGAATAACCAAATTTTACCAATAAAGTGCATGCATCTTATGGATGCCCCTAAAAAGCGAAATAATTAATTAAGTTATTCATAACGGTTGCTCTCATGACAAGTTATTTCGGACTCGCGTTAAGGAATACCGTTATATATACTGACAGTACAGCTTCACACTAGAGTAGACACTGTTGTCCTTACGTTCACAATAGACGTATAGACACTATTCCTTACGTTCACAATAGACAGTTTACTAGATAGTCTGTAGGTTACATAAGGAAATCTAGTTGTTTTTCCTTGTAGATGCCATTTAAAATGGAAATGACGGTACGGTATTAATATTTTTCTCAATACATTGTATCCAATGTTCGCCAGATATCCTCGGTTTGAATATGTAGAACTCGACACAGAGTCTAATAGTGTACAGCTATTTACCGTTATCTCATGATTCTGTATTACATAACCCATAGTACAAACACATCAATATATTTCTTTTAATCTATGATCCACTTACATGTACTTATCCTTTTTTTAAATATTATCACACCAATCATACCATACCATTGATCAAATGGGTTTCAAAAGAGAAGATAGACACAATTTTTATGGATAACAACTTCTTTAATACTTGGAAAAGCGACGTTTCGGTATAGATCCTTATATCGTTATCCATAAAAATTGTGTCTATCTTGTCATCCGTCAACTTCTAAGAAATGCCCATCAAACGGGTTTTAAAAGAATTGTTTATATACAGTTATTGTTGGCTCTAGACTTCCTTCATGTCGCAGTGTGTACATTAATCTTCTGTTTCCAGTCGGCTGATGGTGTTGACGGTATGACGGTGGGAGAAGGCGAGGACGGAGTGGAGATACTGCCCTCTTATGCAGACTTGCACTCCAACAGACAGTGAGTTCATGTGCTGCCCTCGTACGTTGTGTATTTGTCTGTTGGTTGGTTGCTTAACGCCACACTCAGCAATTTTCCATCTATATGACGGCGGTCTGTAAATAATCGAGTCTGGACCAGACAATCCAGTGATTGACATCATGAGCTTCGATCCACGCAATAGGGATTCGATGACATGCATCAACCAAGTCAGCGAGCCTGACCACCAGATCCCGTTAGTCGCCTTTTACGACAAGCATATTCACCTTTTACGGCAAGCATGGGTTGCTGAAGACCTATCCTACCCCGGAATCTTCACGGGTCCCTTCTTATGTAAACAAAGTTTGTTCTCTGATACACCTAACAGAAAAGTCAAGTATATGAACTGTCCTTGTTTGCAAACATAGTCTTTTATTTCACAAACCGAACCATTGTATTTTTTTGTATCAAAGTCGTTTTTTGCTTTTATTTTCATAATTTCATTGTATTTTTGAAACAACTATAATTCCTTTGATTCAATGAAGTAATGAAGTATTAAAGGTTGTAAAAGTAAAAGTCAATTTTAACATGTTTAACAGCGACGTAATGGCTTTCCTTCACTAATTGTTGGACCACCTCCGTGGTGTAGTGGTAGAGCCTCCGACCGGAGTGCGGAAGGTCCGGGTTCGATCCCCAGGCCGCGTCATACCAAAATACGTTAAACATGGCACTTCTTGTTACCCTGTCTGGCGCTCGGCATTAAGGGGCTAAAACAAGGACTGGTCGGCTCGGAATCAGTATACTGTGTCTGAGTGGGGTATTCATGTTAAACTGCGGCATGGTACCTCAGTGAGCTAGCACTATAAATCGGCATCGGTCCGGACTAGTACAAGCAGCCACACACACACGTACATGCACGTCGCTATATAAGTACAATAATCTTGGACGCAACGTTAAACCCCATTTCACCTCATCTCCATCTTGTGCTGTAGGTTGATGGCAATGTTCCGGAAGTTCATCCAGGATGGGGACTCCAAAGAGTTGGCCCTCTTCCTGCCCCTCTACAACGACCTCGACACTTACTTTGATATGAAAGACAACAAACAGAAGAAAGACTCTCACGCTGGTCATATATACAAGTAAGTCTGGAGACAGTAGCTAGATACCCAGCCATGCCAAGGTAGCGGCCATCATGTCCCTTCCCACCTCAGACACACCCCGTCCCTTGACATTGGCTGATGTCATAGGCGGGTAATTTTCCAACAATGAGAGAAAAATATGTTTTTAAATGAAAATCAGAATGAGATTACTCAAAGTGTAGTTCATGTTTTCCCAAATAAGATATGATGGACGAATTTAATCAAACAAATGAAACCTTTAAAGATAGAATGGTGTTAAGTGTGAGTTAAGTGTGTGCTTTATTGGTCAAAGTTTGCTCGTTATATCATTGAACATTTCCACGCCGTTATATAAATGAACATTTTCCCATCATTACTTAAATAAACATTTCCACATCATTATATAAATGAACATTTCCACATCATTACACAAATGAACATTTCCACATCATTACATTAATGAACATTTTAACATCGTTTCATAATTAAATTAACATTTCCACATCGGTACACAAATGAACATTTCCACATCGGTACACAAATGAACATTTCCACATCATAACATCAATGAACATTTCCACATCATTACATCAATGAACATTTCCACATCATTACATCAATGAACATTTCCACATCATTACATCAATGAACATTTCCACATCATTACATCAATGAACATTTCCACATCATTACATCAATGAACATTTCCACATCATTACATCAATGAACATTTCCACATCATTACATCAATGAACATTTCCACATCATTACATCAATGAACATTTCCACATCATTACATCAATGAACATTTCCACATCATTACATAAATGAACATTTCCAGGCCATTATATAAATGAACATTTCAACATCATTACCACAATGAACATTTCCACATCATTACATAAATGAACATTTCCACATCATTACATCAATGAACATGTGAACAATGTACGTACACCAGGACATACCTAGACGCTCAGAGTAAGAAGTTCACCCCCCTGCCTGAGAAGATCTCCACCAGGGTGGCGGGGGAGAAAGACAGGCCCAAGTCCGCCACACTGAAGGAGGTCCACAAACATGTACAGTCCAAGCTGGAGGAGCTGTTCAAAGATTTTATTCTGGTAAGTTTGCAGGGATGAGTTTAAATAACAACCCACACGCCTTAAGTGATTGAGTGAGTTGGGTTGAACCCCGCTTTGACTAGTACTTCAGGTGCATCACGACGTGCCTGCTTGGTGGGACAGGAAATCCCCAAGTAATGCAGGTCTTAGACGTTTACTACCCACGAGGTCGGGTATGGTGCTGACAAACCTAGAATCAGGGCGAATATACGATTCGAAGCTATGATAATAGGTTTTTGGCGATTTTGTGGAGGCAAGTGTGCACAGCGAATTACGCCATCTTAGACTGTTGGGCTACCCTAGTCATGCACCATGACCGTGGAATATATTTATTTTATGAAACAAAAATCTAGAAATCAATCATACAAAAGCAAGTCTAGCCAGCTCAAGCTAGCTCTATTCCACACATAGGGATTTTTTAAATATTTTTAGAGTCAAGAAGGATATTGTGTAATATAAGATTTCAGAGACTAAATGTTAGTCTAGGGCTACCCCTGCCCGACGCCTTAAATGACCCATGTTCGCATTAAGAAAAAATGAGGATTTACACTGCTTTTAGAAATATTCCTTCATAATCCCTATGGGGCGTCCCCGAAAGATAAGAAAGGGCATACACATTATGCCAAAGGTACAATGCTGCTCGGTAAATGAGCGAACGCTTTGCTCCTTGACAGACAACTTTGTGTTTAGAATATAGGCTTGTGGTGTTGCTTTCGGCAACAAACACTTACTTCTTTATGCAAAATGTGCAACCGGTAGAGCAGGACATGCTTTACCCTTTTCGCGGACACGTAGTGACATCACTGATTTTCAGTGATCCATTCTTAAATTTCCATATTTTACTACACACATTTACTATTGCGCCATTTACCCCCATGGATAGATAATGGAGATTGATTGTTCTCTGGCGCTGACGTTAATGTTTGGTCAAGAACTAGACTGTGTGTTGCAGTATCAAGCTGAGGAGTTCGGCGTAGACCCGAAGGACCTGGCGTCTATGTCCCAGGCCGAGCTCACTATGAGGATGGGGGCAGACACGGGGACGGCGTGGAAGAAGAAGAACAAGGGCAAGGTAAGGAGGGGAGACAACTCGTGTTACAGATGTGGGTACTTGCTTCAATACTGGGGTAGTCCTCGCTATTTGCATGTCAGATTTAGTGGGCAAGAGGTTTTTTTTCTCTATTTTTTGTCACGTTATACGTTATAAACCTTTCTTTTCTTGATTTATACTTATCCTCTTTATTTATTTCTCAAAATAATGCCTTAGTTTCTAGAATTGTTTAACAAACCAAATATCCCATATTTCTTAGTCATTCATGTTTTTTTATGAGGTTTACAAATAATTCTTTGTTTGATACAAAATACATTTTTTCATTATATGTAACCTTTCTATCATATGACCCTGTGTCAGTGCCACTGTGGTCATTCCTCAAGATGTAGTTGATGGTGGAGATGGTATTTATTTCTCAAAAATACAAAAAACAGGAATCAGAAGAGGAAACGAAACAGGACAAGGAGAAATCTACACAAATAAGGGAGATAACTCTTGATTCTATCAAAGTTCGCGTTTTCGAAGGGAGTCGCCGGCAGCAGCCGAAGTTAAGCGTGAATAAACCTTCACTTAAAGCTAGTGCAGATAAACGAAAACGATCCAGTTCCAAGGTCCGCGACAGGGGAGACTCCCAGCCAAGAGAACAGTTCTCGAGGGTTGATCGGGTAAACAGTGTGACCATGTGCCGTAACAAATTTAACACTTGCAGTGACCAACAGTTCTCCATACTGTGCACATTAGTAATGGATATATGTGTCCTTTGAATTTGTTTGTTGAGTTACACACATATAAGCACAAATATACGCACGTGTATAGAATAATAGTGTGAATACTGGTGAGACTGCATGTAAACGATAAACATAGCACATATCATCTTCCCGAGGCAAGGGGGAGAACTGACTATAAAAGTCCAGTTTCCACCCTTGCCAAACTAGGCTGGAATTCCTGGGCTCGACCGTAGCGCCACCAGTGGTTATTACGAGTTATGTTCCTTCTAAGCCTCTCCTATGGACCAATCAGATTCCACCTCTCGTATCACTTGCATTTGTTTCAAACAAAATGGTGGCGCCCAGTCAAAACGATCTGATTGATAATCAAGATCTATATTGTGATAAAACGGGTCTTACATTGCGAAGTGCATCAAATCACGTGAGCACCTTGATTATAAACATGAAAAGACTTGGAAAATATCTGTTGACAACGAGTTGGCGGTGCACATGCTTTGCAAATCCTGCCATCGACAGAAATCTGCACGACATTTTACAACCCGGATTTCGATTTCGGTGCGCGATTTTGATTGGACTATGCATAGACTCGTTAGTCCAGCCAAAATGTAACTCCATAATACCAGCCTAGTTCGGCAAGGGTGGAAACTTTACTTTTATAGTCAGTTAACTCTCTTGCCTCGGGAAGATGAGCACATATTGAACACATGGCAATTGATTATAGATATTTATGTGTGTAGCTCGTTTATCACTAATAATAACTTTCTTAACAGTAACGGATACATAGATCAGCAAGTTTAATTGCCCTATGATAGAATGCTCTCATTCACGTATTCTGAAACAATTAAAATGTTCCTTCAATTCTTTAACGAATACACAATACAAGTGTTGGTTTTGTCCTACTCGTAAGAGGCGACTAACGGCATCGGGTGGTCAGGCTCGCTGACTTGGTTGATGGATGTCATCGAATTTCATTTGCGTGGATCGATGCTCATTATGTCAATCACTGGACTGTCTGGTCCAGACTCGATTATTTACAGACCGCCGTCATATAACTGGAATATTGCTGAGTGCGGCGTTAAACAACAAACAAACAAGCAAATGTAATTGTCCTACAAAGGACGAACATTGTAAACCCATATACCCCAAACACAAACAGTGAGAAAAATGAATCATTTGGAATGACGTATGTAGCACAAGCTAATGGTCCTATAGCAGACGAAGACGTTTGTTTGCTGATCAAGAACCAGTGGCAGTTAAATACTGAAACACTGACCATTACAGCAACATACTTCTTGCCTGAGACTGGTTTTGCCTACAGTATTTGGTCTGTTTTCTAACCCATCTACCAAGTAACACTGTTAGTGTTCGTGTGGTCCTAATTAACAATGATCAATACAATATTAACAATCTAACATATTTACTATAACCATAAAGAATAAAGATGGAATACGATGAGTTTCCAGGCATGTTACTCTCCGTGTCATCACAGCAGTCTCATTGAGGTAAATGATGAAATTCAAACATATCTTTAGCAGAAGTGTCACCGTTCTCTTGAAGAACCGGGGTAGAATAGGTCATCAGCAATCCATGTTTGCCGTAAAAGGCGACTATGATTGTCGTAAGAGGCGACTAACAGGATCGGTTGGTCAGGCTCGCTGACTTGGTTGATGCATGTCATCGTATCCCAATTGCATGGATCAATGCTCATGATGTCAATCACTGGATTGTCTGGTCCAGACTCGATTGTTTACAGACCGACGTCATATAGCTGGAATATTGCCGAGTACGGCGTTATAAAACAAACAAACAAACACGGTCAGTGCCTCAACTTTCTGAATGCAATCTTTACTAGGAACCCTAAGGTTGTTTGTCTACTACATAGTGTTACTGCTTTATGATAGCATTTGACCGTATTCTCTGAAACCTATTTATGAAAGTCACTGCGAGTATCTATTCTCGAGTATTGATTTGAGATCGAGGTGTGAGCCAGGATTATGCCGGAACCATTAGGTCACATGGTTACATCGAGACAGTTCCAGTTCTAGGAGCTTCAGTGTACTTATTTCAGTGTTATTATGGATGAAACCCAAATGGATTTTTAAAATACAAGCTAGCAATATTGCTCGTGTGAGCCTAACATTTAACAATGGTTGATTGTTTGTTTTTGTCATGATTTTAATATTACTAACATTCTCTTGGAAATATTACTTAACATAGCATGTTTATTTCAGTAACATTAGTTGGTTTGCTCTTTCATTATCTTTATAGTTATTGCAAGAAGAGTGACATTGTAACAGACATATTCAACAGTCTTATGTGCAAGGGGCAGAGATGTCCCTTGGTAGCCTGCAGTAGCATGTTATCTCGCTGCGGTAACGGTTGATTGACTACATAGAGCCACGGACTGTCCGATAGTTTTCCTAGACACCCGATTCAAATCTGTATCGCACTTTGTATGCTTCAGGAAAGTGCATGCGTTGTGATCTGTTTAAGAAACAAACAACGAGTGGGAGTTGTTTATCGCACAATAAAACACTGCAGAGAGAATATTGTACGATAAAAAACGACCACGAGTCGGTTATTTCTTATATGAGATATCAACATTTTGTACAGCTTTTGTAAGGATGTCAATACATTGTACAAGCTTCAAAAACATTTACCCGTATTTAAAATAATGATTACTCCCTAAATATATAATTCGACAAGCTCCTCACAGCGATAGCCCGTCGGCGGAGCTCTCTACTATCGCTGCCACCAGTCAAAACTCCCCACTGTGATAGGTGACCACAACCATGCTTGGAGTTGAACTCGCAATCGAATGACCGTTATGTTTACAAACAAGTGACGACTGTCGTGACGCCGAATACACTTACCCCTGCTAAATTACTTTTCTTTGTTTGTCAATTTGAATTTCTATTTCATTAAAACTATCATATAATTGATATGGTAAGAATGTAAGGGAGAAGTTGGTTGATTTTCCGTTTGTCTGCAATCTCGAACCAATCTGATTATACAAACAACAAAGTAAATTCATCTGGAAAACATGGTCAGTCGTAAACCCTTTCAAATGAAATATGATGGCATTCCCAAAGACATAAACAAAGTATAAACGTTACTACATTTGGGGTTAGAGGGCAAATTTCAAGATTCCTGTAATGGCCGCGCCCAGACTGGTGGCAACGATGTTACCGAGAGTGTAACGAAGGTGTCACGCGCTGGGAAGGAACTTGACAATTCGATCCCGGCAATGTCGGACAACTCCATATTATGTACAGGGGGGGATGAGGGGCTTACGTTTGGTATTCTCACTTTTTTCACGTCGAATATCTGCACCTTTTCTCCCAATACCGGATGTCATATCTCTCCCACTTTTTGGTACTATAATTCGGCGAACTGCCCTGTCCAGCTACATCTTTGAGCAACAACTCACCGGATACTTCCCTATCTAAAATAACGTCGTCCAATTTACGACGTCATCAAGTTGCGAGCGCATGTTCGAATCCCCAGAAATGACGTCATGATAGAACACTGTTACTGTGAAATAAACCACGCTTCCTTCTTCATTGTTCTTTGCGATTTATCGCATTGCTAACTTATATCAACAAATAAAACTTGCTTATACTTTAGATCGTGCATCAATATAGTTGCTTATGGAGTTGGAAACCAGACCGGTGAAGATTTTGTATTCGCCCTTGCTAAAAAAAATCCGTACTTTCTTGATTCTTTCAACCCAAACTACATCGAATGTTGCATGATCGAAAATGTTAGTACACATATTTGAAGGCAAATTTTTAAGAGGCGAATTGCGATCAAGTTGTCGTGGGATGATGATTTATGTACATTATGACAGGAGTGCTAGTGCTGTATGTCCTAAATCGGTAATCTACTAGGAAAACGCTATGGGACAGACCGTAGATCTGTGTAGCAAGTCAATATCAAAATCGATTATCGGAAGCAGCACATTCACACGGTAACCGCAGCAAGATATTATCCTTTGATTAAACAGTTTGATCTTGAAAGCAAAACCTGACACACAATTTGAAAAATTCATGTTGTTATAATTATGTTTTTATTGAAACATCTTATGTACAATATTTCTGTGTTTTTTTTACATGAAATGAGGATGAGGATGAAATTGTTACAACTGTAAACTGATTTCGCATGTGTCATCCTTCAATGTGTATCATGTATGAAGTTTTCATTAAGAATATCATCACCTGAAAATGTAATACTAGCATTTTGGAACGACGTGTCAAGTCTGCTTTGAATGTAGACTTATTTACATTAGATGCTATGCTCCTCACAACTTGTTAACAGTGAAACAAGTATTACAGTAATAACAATTCTGGTATATCATGTAGTCAGGTTGGAGGCATTGGTGAAATATTAATAATCTTTTCTATGAATATTCACGTAATATATATTCAGTAACCATGGCAACTGTCCTACTAACCCTACTTTTACTATAGGGCTCTCCAGGCAGTTCACAGGATAGAAGTTTAGGCACTCCGTCGCCTACGTTTCTGGCTGCGCGTAGAGCAAGACGTGCGCCAAAGGTATCCCTTAGACTGGGCTCAGTCTCAGCTGGTTGTTATGCAGAACTGGAGTTTTACCTTGCACCTGAATACATAACATATTTACGTCTTGTTGCACGTACTAATCCTTTCACGCTTCTGGGGACTGGGTTACCGTCTGTATGTTGTTTGTACAGTGCACCTTCACGTTACTAACTTTGTATGAGAATCACCATCCCCACGGTGGTAATTTCTTAATGTTAATATTCTTGTTTGTGATCATGTGTTCCTCTTAATGAATTGTGTATCACCTAGTGAAAGTCGTCTATGCCGTGAGAATGGTCATTAACAGACGGGAGCATTTATATCTGTTAAGCGTTTGCTCGTGTGGAATACGATCACGTCAGCCAACGCTTTAATGTCAGCTCGAGAAGTCTTCATGGGCTGTGTTGGGATATTTCAAAAGAGCATGCCGAAAGAGGCGACAATGCTTGCCGAAAGAGGCGACTATGCTTGCCGAAAGAGGCGACTATGCTTGCCGAAAGAGGCGACAATTCTTGCCGAAAGAGGCGACAATGCTTGCCGAAAGAGGCGACAATGCTTGCCGAAAGAGGCGACTATGCTTGCCGAAAGAGGCGACTCTGCTTGCCGAAACAGGTGACTATGCTTGTTGTAAGAGGCGACTAAAGGGATCGGGTGGTCAGGCTTGCTGACTTTGTTGATTCTAATCAAGGATTCCCAATCGCGTGGATCGATGCTCATGATGTCAGTCCCTGGATTGTCTAGTCAGACTCGTTTATTACAGACCGCCGTAATATAGCTGGAATATTGCTGAGTGCGGCGTTAAACCAAAAAAAAAAAACCCAAAAGAAATGCTTGTCGTAATGTTATTCCGTTTATGAATAGCTGGAATCCCCTCATGGAAATCACGAACGACTGAAGAAACAACACTTTAGCAGTGATCCATGTTACCAAAAACTCTCAGACCTATACAAATTAATTACATGTTCGTTTTCTATTTTGAGTCATATCAAGGCCAAAAAATATTTTGAGAACCCCAAAGGTCTCATTAAGATAAAATTGAAAAGTGTCTCAAAGAAGATATATAATGCATAATATGTTGCCTTACCAGGAGAATACTTTTAGGGTTCATGGAAACTTTGGTAGGAAGTGGTATATTTGTAAAATGGCTATAACATCATTATAATTAAATCACAACAAACTGTATGCGGCAATTCTGACGAACACATAATAAATGTTTTGTGGCCGTATGTGTTTATGGTTATATCCCATACTCATCAAATCGTACTCATCAAGTACATATTGCACTGCTTATCACTGAGTAATACCAAAGCGTACCTGCAAGCGCTGTCTTCATTTAGTCAATATTCGTGTTGGTCTATGCTTGGAAGGGAACACCTGCCATACTCCAAGGTACAGCCGCACACTATTACAAACACAATAGGATTTCCCTCCATTGCTTACAAATGTTTATACACCAGAGGTAGTGCCACTTTCACCAGAATTTCTGTTTTTATATATGGAGAGAGAGAGAGAGAGAGAATGAGAGAGAATGAGAGAGAGAGAGAGAGAGAGAGAGAGAGAGAGAGAGAGAGAGAGAGCACATTAAATATACTACATCAGCTTATTGGAGATGGAAGAATTCGCTTTTAAGAGGATTGTTTTACGCCATCTCTACTTTTCATCTCTTTTATCCGAGAGTTGACTTTAATAATTTGTTTATATAACGGAAATTGTGCTGAATGTGGCATTACACATAATTCACTCACTGCATGTTGTATGAATGCACCTATGCAGTAACGGAACACTGGGGAATTCGTTCAAGTAAAATAAAGAATTACAATTAAAATAATGAGTTACCAATAGGAAAAAGAATTACCATTTCGGGATAGATGGTCACTAGATGTTTGTGTTGATATTAACTCCGTGTGTAGATGTGTTATCGTCAGGATGATTTCCTTCTTGTTGCAGAGGGGGCACTGGTGGCCCAGTCGTCTAAGGCGCCGCGATTCGCTGTGCAGAGTTGCGTCCCTTGGGCACGTCAGAAACCTATGATTGTGGGTTCGAATCCCGCTTCGCCCTGATTATGTTTCTAGGTTTGTCAGCACCATACCCGTCCTCGTGGGTTTCACCGAAGTGGTAAACGTCTGAGACCTGCATCACTTCGGGCTTTCCTCCCACATTAAGCTGACACGCCGTGATATGACTGGAATACTGTTAAAAGCGGCGTTAAACCAAACTTACTCACTCACTCTTGTTGCAGAGATGTTGTTTCGTAAACTCCTTTCATAATTATTCCGTTTTCAGAATAAATGATTGGACTGATTAATGTTTGTGTTAATATTAACATCGTGTGTGCATGTTTGTCATCGTCATGAAGACTTTTTCTTGTTACGTTTCATATACAATTTGTGTTATCATTATTCAATTTTCAGGCAATGTTGTAAAGAATCACCACTTTGTGACTGATTAATGGTTTTTTTGTGTGGATATTAACATCGTGTGCGCATGTATGTCATCGTTTTGAAGATTTCGTTTTTGTTACATATAGAGCTGTTTTAGAATTCATTTTGTAATACAAATTCCGTTTTGAGACAATGTTATATTGAGGGATAATGTATTTGATGTATTGACACACTGTGAGAAGACAAATACATTCTACCTCTGATGAAAAAATATCCGCTGTCAATTGAAAAAGTGGAATCAAATGTTTTTGTGATAGCGAGTTTCGTACGTATAGCAAGGTTTTAAAGGGGAGTGAGGCTCTGGCTATTTGGCAGTCCCAGCAAGATAGAATAAGGTCATTGAAACAAGACTTACCCCTTTAGTTTAATCAGTAAAGAAGGAGTACCTTATGTACTTGCAAACAACGTCTAAGCTTCACGCATGGCGCAGATTATGACGCCTACTGCTAAACAAACGTAAGAGAAACGTGTGTGAATTGAACACCGTGTTTTGGCATAGTGGGCCTTCCGTGTGCAACGGACCCGTGGAGACCTGGGGTAGAATAGGTCTTCAGCAACCAATGCTTGCCATAAAAGGCGACTATGCTTGTCTAAAGAGGCGAATAACGGGATCGGGTGGTCACGCTTGCTTACATGGTTGATGCATGCCATCGTGTCCCAAATGCGTGGATCGATGTCAATCACTGGATTGTCACGTGCAGCTCATGCTCTACGCGTATTCGTAAATGGACCACGTCGACTCGACACAGCAGCTGTTCACATTGTGAATTAAGTGTAAAGCTTTAGCTTTAAGCGCTTACTTATTAATAATTGGTCTGTTTGTCCCACAGGAATCGTCTTCGGAATTAATAGATTTGTCAAACTGTACTTTAGGAAACATTCCACCCCTGGGCTCACTTGCACAAAGCGATCTTAGCGCTAAGATGATCGTAACTCCCATACTTTAGCATAGGCTTACAAAGATCCGGGTTCGATTCCCGACATGGGTACAATGTGTGAAGCCCATTTCTGGTGTCCCCCCCGTGATATTGCTGGAATATTGCTAAAAGCGGCGTAAAACCGAACTCACCCACCATAGGCTTACAATAGTCTTAGCGCTAAGATCGTTTCGTGCAAGTGGGCCCTGGTGTTATTTATGCAGATCCGCGGGTTCAATTGTCAGGTCGTAAGATTCTTGACCTTGTTTAGCAGTAGTTCGCCACTGAAACTTTAGGTAAAACTTCGGAACCTAGCCTCCCTTTTAGATACCTTGCACACTTCAAGTTGGCTGTGTATATACTTATCAGCCAAGGATTGATATTTGTATCATTAATGATTTTCGCACGTAAATTGTATCTACAGTTTTACCTACATGCATTATTGTGGAACGATATCATCCACTAAATGACTGTCGTGTATATGTTTCAAAGAATATTGATCTGTTTTAAATCATTTTTTTTAAAGACATAATAATGATCAAACAAAAGATTATATCAATAATTCCAAAGCACCTTCGTTGTCACGTATTGCGAGATCAGTTTTCAATCAAAACAAGAACATGTTCATCTCGTTAAAGGGGCGGTCGGGTAGCCTAGTGGTTAAAGCGTTCATCGTCACGCCGAAGACCCGGGTTCGAATCCCGACATGGGTACAATGTGAATCCCTTTCCTGGTAACCCCCGCCGTGACATTGCTGGAATATTGCTAAAAGCGGCTAAAAAACATACTCACTCACTCTACCTTCTCGGACAGCGTTCATAGTGTAACGTCTAGTCTCCAGCGGAAGAGAATCTTCCGGAACGACAGTTTTTGCGTCACCCCTCTAACATAATGTACTCCACCCCCAGGCGACAGGTCGGGCCCACCCAAGCCGCGAGGACAAGATAGAGTTCCTGAAGGCCCTGGGGGAGTCTGCGATGGGGCATCTCAATATGCAGATGCTGTTCTTCTTCAAGTACCTTGTCAAACACGGCCCTGAAGATGGCATGCCTCAGATAGACAAGGACTTGTTCTTCTATGTTGAAGTCCAGAAATTTAAGGTTAGTTGTCAACACTGAAACCAAAGGACTATGTATGATAACTTTGTTTGTTTGTTGTTTAACGCCGCTCTCAGCTATATGATGGCGGTCTGTAAATAATCGAGTCTGGACCAGACAATCAAGTCATTGACACCATGAGCATCGATCCACACAATTTGGACATTATGTCATGCATCAACCAAGTCAGCGAGCCTGACCATCCGATCCCGTTAGTCGCGTGTGGTACGCGAGATTCTGATATAATACCCTGCAGAGTTAGGTCCCTTTAAGTGGTTAGAGCCCAAGCTCCTTCCCAGCGCGTGACACCTTCGTTACACTCTCGGTAACATCGCTGCCACCAGTGTGGGCGCGGCCATTAAAAGAATCTTGAAATTTGCCCTCTAACCCCACATGTAGTAACGTTTATACTTTTGTTTATGTCTTTGGGAATGCCATCATATTTGAAAAGGTTTACGACTGACCATGTTTTCCAGATGAATTTACTTTGTTGTTTTGATAATCAGATTGGTTCGAGATTGCAGACTAACGGAAAATCAACCATTTTCTCCCTTACATTCTTACTATATCAATAACACGGTAGTTTTAATGAAACAGAAATTCAAATTGACAAACGAAGAAAGTAATTTAGCAGGGGTAAGTGTATTCGGCGTCACGACAGTCTTCACTTGTTGGTAAACATAACGGTCATTCGGTTGCGAGTTCAACTCCAAGCATGGTTGTGGTCACCAATTCACGGTGGCGAGTTTTGACTGGTGGCAGCGATAGTATAGAGAGCTCAGGGAACGTACTATCGTACGCATTATTTGCTAATCAGGATCAACAGGGTTCGAGTCCATTGGATATGGCATTCTGTAAACTGCTGTGTGTCATGTTTACATCTCTATTCTGCAGGACTGCAGCCACGCACATTCCAACGAGGAGCTTCTGCGCGCCAAGGTCCAGTCTATCGTAGAGTGCTTCCTGGAGTCTGTCACGACTCCAGCCCTCCAGGTATAGCAGACGCCGTCATGTGTATGGGAGTGAGTGAAGGAGTGTGGTTTAACGCCGCTTTTAACAGTATTCGAGTTATATCACGGCGTGTCAGCTTAATGTGGGAGGAATGCCCAAAGCGATGCAGGTCTCAGACGTTTACCACTTCGGTGAAACCCACGAGCACGGGTATGGTGCTGACAAACCTAGAAACATAATCGGGGCGAACCGGGATTCGAACCCACAATCATAGGTTTCTGGCGTGCCTAAGGGACGCAACTCTGCACAGCGAATCGCGGCGCCTTAGACGACTGGACCACCCGTGACCCTCCTGGGTATGGGAAATGAATGGGAAGATATATATCGTAATCATTTTACTGCATGGTCCAGCAGTCACACGTGCGAGTACTGGTATCGGGTATACAACATTACAATGGCGGGTCTCTAATCAGTCAGATTCAAGCCAGGTATGTACATTCCTATTGCCATGACGTCATGTTATTGGGATGTCATCACTTAATGACGTCATTTAATTCATTAACGTCATTTGCTCATTTCCCTCTTTCCAGTCCAAAACCTATGACATCATATCCTTTCTCTATTAATTTGAGGGGGCACGGGTGGCCCAATTCGCTGTGCAGAGTTGTGTCCTCTGGACCCGCCAGAAACCTAAGAGTGTTGGTTCGAATCCCGGTTCGCCCCGATTATGTGTCTAGGTTTGTCAGCACCATACCCGTGCTCGTGGGTTTCACCGAAGTGGTAAACGTCTGAGACCTGCATCACTTCGGGCTTTCCTCCCACACTAAGCTGACACGCCGTGATATAACTGGAATACTGTTAAAAGCGGCGTTAAACCCAACTCACTCACTCACTCACTCCCAAATCAAACTGTGATATAACTGAATGTACCAACGGCAAGCCAATTTGACACTAACACACTATCTGACTTACTACTTCAAAAACCGTAACATCGATAGATTTTACGCATCCAAATGTTGAATACACATATCCTTTAAACCTCTTTCCTTGACCGGCTGTTTTTCATATAAACTTCTGCAAAAAAAGAGTTAAGTCCTCAAAAGTTTTTTAAAGTGGTAATGGTGCCCAATCCCACTACACTGTCACACGTAGCTTGACACATCTTCAACCTGACACAACCATACTATTGCTCAGGTTGACATCACGCCAGAGACTCACACGAAGACGAACAAGACCACTGCACGCTACCTTCAGGGAAAGGAATCAGGGTCCAACATTTTCGATGAAGCCCAGTTCCAGGTGTTCAAGGAACTGCTTCCCTACTGGGCCGGCTTCATGAAGTCTTTCGCCATGGACGACAAGAAGAAGGCACCAAGTATGTCAACATGTGTATGGCGTTGGTTTGGCAGGATTACGAAAAATAATACTAAAAATAATTGAAGTGTTTGCTTAGTAGAAGTCGTTTTGGGCGAATTTGAGGAGATACTGGTACAGTAGACTACGGTTATAACGAACTCAAAGGGACCTCTAACTTTAGTTTGTTATAACCGTAGTTCGTTATAAGCACATATACAGCATTACTATAGCAAATAGTCGGGGCAAAAAATAATCAGTTCGTTATATCCGTCAGTTCGTTTTAAGCATGTTCGTTATAAACGTACTTTACTGTATCTGAATAAGTGTGGACCTCGCTTTCGAAATGTCACCCTTGCATCCCAAGTACCAAGTTGTCCGTCTCCCCACTGTCTCGGTGCCTTAGGTTTGGTACCTCCCAATCTGTTGACTGACATTGGGAGAGTACCCGGGTTTGCTACCCGGAACTCAGCCCTTCTTACAATCTGGGTAATGCAGAAGGCTGCAGTGTTTGGGAGTCAGTCTCCACATTCTCCGAAAAGTTCTGGGTGGGTTCGACTAGACAGCGCTTCCTTGGAGAAGTCTCATTCGCTGTCTGGGCTGCGTGTAGAGGGGGCAAGGGCCCTGAGCTGATAATCAGCCTAACAAGCCTGACTGTGCAAGGATCACCCAAACCCTCTTAGCTGTATTTTATATATTAGTCTGTAAATAATAATAATAATAATATTGGACGGCTCTTTATTATTTCTGAAAGGTGTTGTAGATCTTTATTGATGACGTAGCTCTGAAACGGCGTTGAGAAATGAAAAAGGAATTGTTATCTTTAATCTTAAACTTGTATTGGATCGAGCTTGAAATGTTTCAAGAGCTCGAATGTCGCATATAGGTGTGAAATAAAACTAATGTCCAAATACGAATGAGTGATTCGAACTTCGAACTGTTTATTTCAGAAACTAAATATCAGAAACTTGTAGAGAAGAGATTGAACTCCATACAGAACTATCAAATGCCACCCACGACCTTCACCCTTCCATCAATACCAGAGGGCGCTGTTCCCGCCTTCACTATTACGCTATCGGAAGGGGTCAAGTTCAAGGTCAGTTGCTTTTATCCCTTTAAGGTTTTGTTGGTTTGGAATAGAGTATAACATAGTAGCATAAACTATTATAAAACATTAAAACTGTGCATGGAAGACGACACCTAGAAAGTGGTAGATATTAACTATGTAGCCTCGATGCTGTATTGTAAGCCTACTTTCTTGTACCACCTTCATGAGGTCCCGTGTTCTGATTTACACGGAGTTTTTATTACTTGGTTCACAGATTCACCAGACCAGACTTTCACAAATGCCGACTGAATTAAAACATAAATCCGATAATGTCTTTCAACTTATGTCTTATTAAATATAAAACGTCAACGCCTGAGAATACCCAGTCTCGATTACCCACTGAAAGAGATTCCACTGGATGTAACATTCAAAATAGTATGAAAATTACGTCAATTTTTAAAAATCATATATATATATATATGAATGAGAAGAATCCCCGTACCATATTTTTTTCATTTCGTTTATTTAATAAATCTACTGACCAGTGTCTCAAGAGATCCCTTTGAAAAAGGAGTTTTTAGTAGATATATTTTGAGCACCCACCTGTTCTGAAAGGTAATCTGTAAACCAATTAATAATTGCCTTAATCTATTTTCACAGACTGCACTCCTTGCATATCCGTTCACCGTTTCCTCTCCTCACTAACAATAGGTTAACAATGAATGCTAATAACATTGCTACATGTCAATGTCGTTTCTGTTGGGCAGTGCCATAAGGAACGAGCATATTACTATGTATACTGTAGAGCGTATTAACTATAGAACTTGATATTACAACAGGAAGATATGCCAATAAAAGTTATTGAAGGATGTTATTCACTTATGTATTTGTACGGAAACCTAGAAAGGACATTGTCGCGTTGTCGCAATGTCGCCCTTACAAAAAAAAAAGCAAAAAGTGTCAAAATTAACCAAAGCGCAACAATGTGTCAACGTGACAATGTCCCTTCTAGGATTTCATAATTATGTGTTTTAATGTTTATAAAGAATACAAAGTAACCGAAATAACTTGAAAATGGCGATCTTTTAAACATACGTCGACATATATATCTAAAGGTATTGATAGAATGACAATCCCAATAGTATCTGCTAAAGTGTTTATTAACCTGTAAATCTACTATAGGTAGAACATCAATACTGAGGTAATTATGGCTGTACCTAGCAATATATGTATTGTCATATTGTCAAGTCAAATTGTTTCACAATAGCATAAGGTACGACGTCACTGCATTGACAGTCTGATGTAGCAGCTGCAGATAAAACAGCTGTTTGATCGTGAAGTCCTAGATTGAGCTGTGCACTGTGCAGTTAGTTGCAAGCCAGTGCTAAAACCTGTATGCAGTTGTGAGGCAAATATTACACGCATGGTTGCTTTATCCTTGTACTTGTTCCCATGTATACACCCGCCTGAAAATACTGTACATATACACCTGTTAACATACTGTACATATACACCCTATTGCATATACTGTACATATACACCCTATTGCATATACTGTACAAATATACATGTACATCCTAGGGAATGCACTGTACATATCAACTACCCAAGGCAAGGGAGTTAACTGACTATAAAAGTCCACTTTCCACCCTTGCCGAACTTGGCAGGAATTATGGAGTTTTATTTTGGCTGGACTAACGAGTTCATGCATCGTCCTATCAAAATCGCGTAACGAAATTGACATGCGGTTCGTAAACTAAAGAATTTGCAAAGCATGTGTGCCGATAACGGTTAACTTAGCGTCAAGAAATATTCTCCTAATCTTTTCATGTTTTTGATCGAGTTGCTCGCGTGATTTGATGCACTTCACGAAGTAAGACCCATTTTATTACAAACTTGATCTTTATCGTCGATCAGATCGATTACACTAGGCGACGCCATTTTAGTTGAAGCTAGTGATATGAGAGGTGGAATCTGATTGGCCAATAGGAGGGACATAGAAGGGACATAACTCGTGGCGGCGCGACGATCGAGCCCAGAAATTCCAGCCTAGTTCGGCATGGGTGGAAACTGGACTTTTACAGACAGTTAACTCCCTTGCCTCGGGAAGGTGTGTACATATATACCCTGTTGCATATACTGACGTGTACATATACACCGCTATAATGTAATCAGCTATAGTTAACTGCTCCCAGTATATGCTTATACTGTCAGATGCTGTCAGATACCACTTGTGACTCGCTCGGTACCATCCCATAAAAGATACGTCAACTGTATTCTTAGCACCAAGGCAGTGCTATGTAAGTCTTTACAACGCCGGAATATACGAATGTGTTGCGGCCTTTTCTTACGCCACCAGCATACCTAACGTTGTGTGTTATATATCTTTACATATTTCAGCCTCACGCGGAAGGTTCTCTTGCTTTGTCTCTCTCGGACAAAATGTCTGAGAAGAGTGTCCGCTTACCCCTTAACACTCCCCCCTAACCCTGCTGTGGTAAGTGATGGTAGCTGTGGTTGTTGTAGATTACCGAGTGTTCTAGAACAGGTGTGTGTCTTGCGTTTTACCAGACCTACATAGTACGTGCTAGTGTATCCAATTACATGTAATGCTTATCCTCTGGTTTAATTAAATACAAAAGGTATGTTTGACACAATGTGAAATGCTCACACGGTTATGTAGAACCTTTACAAACAGAATCAAGGTACGCACTAGATTGTTATGTATAGAATACAAAGCCGCAACCATTGGAAACGGGTAGACATTGTATGTTCGCAATACATTTTTGTCTAGGGTAATATCTGTTTCTTTAAGGGCGGTCGGGTAGCCTAGTGGTTAAAGCGTTCGCTCGTCACACCGAAGACCCGGGTTCGATTCCCGACATGGGTACAATGTGTGAAGCCCATTTCTGGTGTCCCCTGCCGTGATATGGCTGGAATATTGCTAAATGCGGCGTAAAACCATACTCACTCACTCACTCTGTTTCTGTATGCCTTATGAATCGGAATTGGTAATCAAGTCAAAACAAGGAATTTTGCCAAGAAGTTTAAATTAAGCTTCAAGTATATCGATGATCTGATATCATTCAATAACAATCAAATAGCCAGTTCCCTTTCACTGATTTACCCCTGAACTAGAAACAAAGGAGACAAGTACATGTAAAACCGCCTCATCTGTTTCATATTTAGATCCATGCATAAAGATTCAGAGTGACAAAACATTCTCCAAGCATCATGACTGTATGACAAGAGGGATGGCTTCAACTTTCCAAAAATTAACTTTCCCTTCATGTCGAGCAATATTCCATCAGCTCCAGCCTTTGGTGTTTACGTTTCGCAACTTTTGAGATACAATCCAGCATGTTCTTTCTACAAGACTTCAAAGAGCTTCATACAACTCTTGCTCAGAAGTTATTTGACCAAACTTACAACATTCAAGGCCCCAGTAAGCTTTCAAAAAGGAGGATGAGATTTCCAAATTAGACGCATCATGTCCGATGCAATTCCCTATTTTGACTTCAGTTTTTTAGGTGAACAATTGACTTGCCTTTGCATGTGTTTATGACGGGTGCCACTGGTGGGGAAGTATACGCTCACCTTTGTTCGCGAACATCTGGTACCATCACTATTTGATAGTGATTCATAAACACATGCTCATGATGTTGTCGGAATCGTACAATCAACTCTGCTTTTAGCAGAGATTTCTATTGACTATGGGGGCGGTCGGGTAGCCTAGTGGTTAAAGCGTTCGCTCGTCACACCGAAGACCCGGGTTCGATTCCCGACATGGGTACAATGTGTGAAGCCCATTTCTGGTGTCCCCTGCCGTGATATGGCTGGAATATTGCTAAATGCGGCGTAAAACCATACTCACTCACTATTGACTATGGAAAGCCTTTTGTCGCTTTTTTTCATGCAGTGACTTGTTGTAGTTCTCCAAGTAGACATAGTGTGCTTACACTTTAATAATTCCAATAACAAAGTGTGTTGGTACCACCGAAGAATGAAAAACACCATCCCTCGGTTTGTCATCTACGTGTAACATGTCAAACACTCCACGAGAGAGTCAGATTGGTTGGTTTGTTGTTTAACGCCGCACTCGGCAATATTCCAGCTATATGACGGCGGTCTGTAAATAATCGAGTCTGGACCAGACAATCAAGTGACTGATATCATGTGCATCGATCCAGGCAACTGACATTCCATGACTTTCTTCAACCAAGTCAGCGAGCCTGACCACCCGATTCCGTCAGTCGCCTCTTACCACAAGCATAGTCGCCTTTTACGGCAAGCATGGGTTGCCGAAGACCTATTCTACCCCGGATCTTCACGCCCCTTTGAACAGTTGTTGCGTTATGTCATGTCGTGTCCGCTTAAAGAGGGAGAAAACCATATTTATACAGGTCGTAGTCGTTTACCACTTTTGGTGAAACCCACGATCACGAATATGGTGCTCACAAACCAAGGATCGGAATCTTGTTTGAATCTGGGATCTTCGGATCCTGGCACGCCCAAAGAACGCTACTCTGTACATCGGGCTGCAGGGCCAACGCTGTCCCCCTTACACTCAGTAAACTAAACTATGTTCACAAGATTTTTAATTTTTTTAATTTTTTCAATTTATTTCAATTTTCCCTCTTTATTCATCTCCTGCAGGTACAGCATTTATACATACATGTCATGTCAATACAATTGTGGTACATGGTTTAAAAAAAATGTACATCTTTCCATACATAACTTCTTGCCTGTAAAGTCCACGTACTGAATCAGTGTATCACTGTTAACAAAGTGTGGAAGGAAGACCAAAAACTAAAAAACTTTGCATAGTTACAATTTGTGAATGACATTACCTTTGTAGAATTGTAGATGGTCACAAGATGTCATTAACTCATTGGTCTGTAGTTTATTGTTTGCCGTGCATACAAAATCATCTTTAGTATTTTTTATCGTTTGACGTGCTTATGACGAATAATAGTTATTCTATTGTTTTTTTACTTGCATACAAGGGTGTCTCAGTAGTCCTTACTAACTTTCCTACAAAAGTAACATTAACATTTGTATTTATCGCGTGCATATTCAAGAATCATAAGCATTCCGTATTGTTTGCACCCGTGAAGATCTGGGGTAGAACAGGTCTTCAGCAACCCATGCTTGCCGTAAAAGGCGACTATGCTTGTCGTAAGAGGCGAATAACGGGATCGGATGGTCAGGCTCGCTGACTTGGTTGAAGAATGTCATCGATCCCAATTGCGTGGATCGATGCTCGTGATATAAAATCACTGGATTGTCTTGTCCAGACTCGATTATTTACAGACCGCCTTCATATAGCTGGAATATTGCTGAGTGCGGCGTAAAACAACAAATCAACCAACCAAATCCTTATCGTTTGACGTGCGATATATGCTGCTTTTCTAAGATGTGCATGTAAGAAATTTAGTCCAAATTCTTTGCCATGAGAAAGTGTCTAATAACAATTTTTATAGCAAGAGTCAGCACATCTTTGAGAGCAGTGTGTGGGTTTTTTAGAGCGTTGCTTTGATGTCTGAGAGTAATGAAGCATAAACACTTTTTATCTTTCAGCAACCTGTAAGTATGAACATTGTGTATCTTTTTAACATGTGGGAACATTCACTCGTGAGTTTGCCTCTAATGCAATCATCTGTCGTGTGTTTCGTTGAGTAGGGGTTATATCTTCTACCTTGACCAACCTTAATGAGCACTTAGTTACTTCTTGAACCCACCCAAGTATTGTTCCTGATAACTAGACTTGTGTCTAGTATTAGTAGTATTCACAATAACTTTTAACTGTCTGAGTACGTGTTTCCAATATATCACTCTGCAATGATATTAATACAACTGTAAATTCAACTTTTCCCAAATAATGTTTTCTGTCGAAATGGTTTGTAACTAATATTCGTGATTGTCATGTTTTCCACAAGCAATCGGGGCGGTCGGGTAGCCTAGTGGTTAAAGCGTTCGCTCGTCACGCCGAAGACCCGGGTTCGATTCCCGACATGGGTACAATGTGTGAAGCCCTTTTCTGGTGTCCCCCGCCGTGATATTGTTTGAATATTGCTAAATGCGGCGTAAAACCACACTCACTCACTCCACAAGCAATCATCTGACTTATCTGACACATTGAAAATTTATGTCTATTGTCGTAATATTTACTTTTAAATCAATTATTCCGTGAGTCAAATAATATGTAATAAGCATAATTGTTCATTGATGAAAAGTAATCAACAGGACTGGACGTTCTAGGAATTTCATACATTTGAAATTATGTAATAAAAGGCTAAGTTAATTTTAAAATCATGTTTCAAAATTATCAAAATATGTTTTTGTGTACAATAAGTTGCCATAAGCCTTATTTTTCTTGCAGGAGGCGCCGGATGATGGCCCATCTCTCCCAACACCCAATCCGGACCGGTTGAGTAAACTGGGCGGCGCATCAGACAGGCAGAACCGGTCCAAGATTGCTAGTGCTAGTACCCTTAACAGTGCTCGAACATTCATCAGATGAGGATGAACCCAGCATAGCCTGTCACTGTGTAGCTTCATTTCAGTTGCGAAATGCGACCCTTCATTACAATGGCAAGCAATTTCACAGCCCGTACTTTGAACCTATATAAGTAAAACCTGTCAGGTATATTGAAACCATTGAGACTAAACACCTCAGTGGGTAAGAATTATGTTACATTATGAAGAGTGTATAAATACTTAAAGGTAGTCATCGAGATGTCATTCCAAACGCTGCTTAATCCCAAAACGAGGCGGTGGCTTCCTTTAATGCTGAACATGTTTAATGTTATGGGAGTGAGTGATGGCGTGATGTTTGATTTTACGCAATGCTTTGTACTGACTTTATGTATAATTATGGTATTAATTAGTCGTGTACGTGTATATGTCTTGCTAGTAGTATAGGTCAGTATCGATGAATGCTGCAGTCAACTCCGTATATAAGTACGTCACATTAAGTCACATTTTGCCAACAAAGATCGATTTTATCTTTGTGATATTTGCACGTGTGCTTATTAGCTACCTTCAAAGCAGTTGGTCAGTAAGATGACACAGTACAGGATATGTCGACGCCATCCTTGGTTCATGAGGTCACAATTGAAAAAGAAACGTCATCAAAATAATTGACTCATACTGATGTTTGAGTTGACATTTCAGTACATTGCTCTAAGGGATAATGAACTCGAAACTCGCTAGTTACGATATCAGAAATTCCCCGAGCGTATAAAATTGCCAGATATTTGTTAACGAACAAAACTCTTATCTCAGGCACTGATATTCGTTCATTGATACTGAATAAATAATTTTGGACTTACTGTACTTATTCTAATTCTAACTCAAGTTTCGAGAGGGACATTTTTTGATAAACATAAATGTCCCTATGAACCATCGGACAGTATATACGTACCTTATTGCCGCACAAAGTATTCAGTGAACTAGACGAGCAATGGGGATGACAAATCTGCAGAAATTCTAAAATTTTCAGGGGGCACGGGTGGCCCAGTCGTCTAAGGCGCCGCGATTCGCTGTGCAGAGTTGCGTCCCTTGGTCACGCCAGAAACCTATGATTGTGGGTTCGAATCTCGGTTCGCCCCGATTATGTTTCTAGGTTAGTCAGCACCATACCCGTGCTCGTGGGTTTCACCGAAGTGGTAAACGTCTGAGACCTGCATCACTTCGGGCTTTCCTCCCACATTAAGCTGACACGCCGCGATATAACTGGAATACTGTTAAAAGCGGCGTTAAACCCAACTCACTCACTAAAATTTTCACCGTCCGTTTTTAGCTCACCTGAACCGAACGTTCACCTAAGCTTATGTCGGTGATCGTTGACCGTCCGTCTGTCAATCCGTCCATTATAAACTCTTCCATCTCCTCTGAAACTACAAAGCCTGTAGTGCCAAAACTCCGTGTAGATGATCCCAGCAAAGTTGTCTCTTACACTTGTTCCAAGAATTATTATCCGACTTTAAACATGGCAGCCCGATGTCAGGTTTTGTCATTTTCGCCTATTTCATGCATGGTCACTCTTGTTCGTATGCAATATATGGAATAAATAAAGTTGTGATACGTTTTTGGACGTAATTCATTTTTGATCTAGCTGTATAGAAAATCCATTGTTGACGTTTGCAAATATTTCATTATGTATTTTAACTTCAGGGTTGCAAATATTCCAGAAAAAGGTCAGGAGAGTTACAGAGACTTTTTTCGTTAAAAGGCATACATGACCATGTTGGGAATACAAGAGGATTATGACAGTGCTTCCATGTTTGTCAAACATTTGATGTTGTTTTGTGCCCTTGTGAGACAAGGTGTTGCCTGCCTTTATTGTGTGCTGACGGTAAAAGTAAGCCATACCTGTCGGTATTATTTTTAAAATTTGTCTCCCACTTGTTTCTTAGCACTCATCCTCAATATCGCTATATTTGCAGTCGAAATGTGACAATTAGTCTAAAAATGTTGAAACAGTTAATCTGATCTGGCCTCATGTTTTACACGTTTTGTAATTTCTATGATGTTGTTGTATTTTTTTTTATTGATTGACAGTAACGTTGCTGATTCTTAACGTTGATGTAGTTTGAATTGTTAATTTTCTTTAATATTAGCAATGTTTTATAGGTAAAGGTAAGAACGTTGATATGAATGTTGATACCACAGTAGATGAACCACTGGGACATCCTGTCCATTTTCTGTATTTGTATAAGTACTGAGAAAATATTTAATTTCAATTAATGTTATGGCCATCATCCAATTCTACATATGACTTGACATCAGAGGGAGAAAATTTCAAAATGTATAAAAAAATGTACAAAACAAAGAAAATAGTTTCTATCAAAATGGAATATGATATGTTAAGACATATTAACAACAATCACGATACTATTGTATGTAGTCAGTCTGTGTTAAATGTACTGTGAACATCTTATATTTATTGCTACATCAGTATTACCTGTACCATGCCCATACAATGCCTTAATGAATCTGTCTCGTGGTTTTACTGCTGAAATGTTTTATAGAATGTGTTATTTTATATAGAATGTACATGACATTGTATTAAGCGTTCAATCTGAGCAGGAATCTGTGATAAACGAAACTCGGATGCCAATCAATGTTGCCATGGTTACAAAGAAATAAATGGATGTGGGTTCAAACAGCTGATAACTAGTTTGTGATTTATAGAACGTGGGCCACATAGGAACCAATATCATCCTTTTGATCATTGTTTCCTATACATCTCAAGGAAAGATTCATGTTTTTTTTTCCCCTATGCGGAAATGCTACATCTTCAAGAAAAATAACCAAACATTAGCAGAACGCTTGTTTTGGATATCAATATTGGATTGAAATTAAATCAGATCAATTACGATCAACATAATGGGTGCACTAGAATAGCAGCTGTTATATAAGTGCTAAATAATGAAGAAACACGATTCATTGGTAAGAAACCATCTGATGCCTCCTTCACATACACGGAGTCCTTACTGATCGCACAAATTCACGGATCCTTACGATTTGGCCACGAGTCATTTACGTATTCCTTCGAGCAGTTTACGGATGGTTACGTGTTGTTGCGAGCGGTTTACGATTCTTACGGATTGTTACGAGTTATTTACGAAAAGATCAATCCGTTGACAATCGTAAAATGATTGTTGACATGTCAAAAAAATGGCCCCTCCTTTCACGGATCATTCATAGTGTCTGCGAGTTGTTGTGAGTTGTTACGAGTTATTTATTTTTATTTATGGATGCCTGCGATTGACTACGAGTTGGCGATCCTTAAGAACTCGTAAGAAAAATCTGTGTATGTGAAGGGGATAAAATTGAAATCTGTGACTTCTGAGTCTTCGGCGTCATAGATAGATAAAAAAACAAAATCACTTCCGGATAGATAAAGTGTAAGATATTTATACCAGCCCGGTGAACTCGAAGGACGCCAACATCATGAAACTGATCCGGCTTGGTCTCTTTAGATATATAACATAAGTCGATTGGTTATGAAAGAAGGAAAACCTTTTTTTTATATAATCTTAAAGATGGGCCAAGCAGACGGTTGGTACGAGAAGAGTTGCTCATAGTTCCCACTGATTCAGTATTACTTCCCTACGAAGCCATACGCATAGGTAGTGATACCATCCTTATCTATCCATCTCGTTTTATCTAAGAGGGATAATGATGTCTTATTCATTCTTAATCTATATATTCTGTACTTATCACTTCTTAAAGTATTCATCTCATATTTGAATGTTCTACTGTTGAAAAATGCCTCTTTAAACTGTTCATGTTTTATATGGGTTTTTATACCACATACTTCTTAACGCCTTCGGCTTTCCTTATCTCCACATTTTTAGACTTCTTTATAGATTGAATCTGAGGTCTTAATCCAACATACTCAGCAATAGGAGTTCCAGCACATTCATCCTTCATCTTACCTGGGCCTTTATGTTTACTGTACTGTGCAATCGATTATTATATCTATTTTTCTGCCATATCTATATATTCACATCATCGGTATTTATTCCCATGAATAAAGCATCTGTATCGGTATATAACACCTAATATCTATCACAATATTGCTTCTCAAGTTTATTGTAATAAAAGTAATACATTAAGTGGTTTAACATACACTGGTCTGTTAAAACTTTATATTACTCTTCTTCATAAAATTATGTAATGTCACTGTCATTATCAAATATCTTACTTATGTTAAAAGTGACTGCCTCCGTGGTCTACTGGTAGAGCGTCCGCTCGGAGAACGGAAGGTCCGGGGTTTGATCCCCGGCCGAGTCTTACCAAAAGACGTTAAAAGATGGTACCTGTTGTTACCCTGTCTGGCGCTCGGCATTAAGGGGCTAAAACAAGGACTGGTCAACTCGGAGTCAGTATACTGTGTCTGAGTGGGGTATTCATGTTAAACTGCGACATGGTATCTCAGTGAGCTAGCACTATAAATTGGCATCAGTCCGGACTAGTACAAGCAGCCAGACACACACACACACACATACAAGTGCAATAATCTTGGACGCGATGTTCAACCTAATTTCACCTCACCTCTGTTAAAAGTTGGACTAGCTATTAGTTTCCTTGGTCTTTCTTCCTCGTCAGATCTGACCAATTAAACATTGGTGTGCTTCCTTAGATTCTCCTTAAATTTACCAAATACTGATTTTTTCATGAGCTTATATGGGTTCTTTTCCAAATCACTAGTAGCCTTCCTTCTTAAAACTGTGTTCATCCTTATATAGGGTTCCATCCAAGGGCTTTGATCAAATATAAGAACTCTTATATATTTATGTATTTTCTGAAGTTTCATACCTATAGCTAATGATAGATATAACTGGAGAATTCCGTAGAGGACTACATATTTTGTCTTAGACATCAACTTTGGTATGAGTGTTTCTACATTGGATAATTTAGTATTTCCAATCAAGTTATGTTTATATTCAGATATCCAATCTCTATTAACTATTAGGGCGGTTGGGTTGCCTGGTGGTTAAAGCCTTCGCTCATCACACTGAAGACCCGGGTTCGATTCCCGACATGGGTACAATGTGTGAAGCCCATTTCTGGTGTTCCCTGCCGTGATATTGCTGGAATATTGCTGGAATACTGCTAAAAACGGCGTAAAACCATACTCACTCACTATTAACTGTTAATCTTTCAGGAGCTAGAATATCTTTTTGCAGTCATTGATATCCAAGCCATATTGATTTTAACAGGTCTTTCTAAATATCTCAAATACCAGTGAGTAATAGTACATCAATTATTAGGTATAGATCATGATAATCACCTACATTGTTACAGCCTTATTTATTCCAGACATTAAGAACATGTTTATAATCAGCACCAGTTATTTTAGATTCCATTAAGTTCCTATACAATGATTCAACGGGTGATTGTTTAGTTTCATCAAATCTAGACCAATCATCCAACTATTCGTAAGAATATATACCCTTTCTCAACAACAAATGTCGACTTCACAGGTCATTATATTGGTTCGAAACCGAGTAAGGTAATCAATTCAGCTTTTCCCATTTGAGAATAACCTCTTTGACCATATTGTTTTTACCAAAGTATTCAGCTCTCTAACAGAAGCCACTATGCTGTATAATTATGTGCAAAGTCAATCTCTAAATGGTTTTGTGACAAAAAACCCTGACTCATCAAACTACTTTCTATCCAATCTAGGTTAATTCATTGAGGTAGTTCCTCTCTCTGCATACATAATCTAGTTTCATAACATATCATCCCCGTGTGCTTTACATAAACAATAATGACCTTTGGCCCCAATTCCACATACAGAACATGTATAGTTAACATGACCTTTCCTTATTGACATGGCATGAATGCCACAATATTCTCTAATACAGCAAGTTCCGCAAGCGGTTGGTTTTCCCATCAGTATGAACTTACGCTAGGCTGTCCCCTTTGCCATTGTGCTTAATATACACTAAATATGCCAAAATGTGTGTAAGCAGAGTCGATTCGCCAGCTCATAGCTGACAAGAGCAGTCACTAAATGAATGTTATCCTGCAGCCTTTCTGACCCTCTGACTGTGTATAAACTGATATAGTGTTGGCTGGGGCCGAACTGAGTCCAGTGGCTTTCCGTACCTAAGATAGAATTCAGACATGGCAGTTTTGACATCATTAGAGGTTTGAAATGATTAATTTTGCTCATGAAGATCTTCATTTATAAAATCAGTGTGTTATTTTCCTAGAGTGGGCGGTGTCAAGTTCTTCTAAAGCTTTATCGTACATTTTACTTTCCTCTTCAATTCCCTCCGCGTTCGATTTTCTCATAGGAGAGGGGGCACGGGTGGCCAAGTCGTCTGAGGCGCCGCGATTCGCTGTGCAGAGTTGCGTCCCTTGGGCATGCCAGAAACCTATGGTTGTGGTTTCGAAACCTGGTTTGCCCCAATTATGTTTCTAGGATTGTCAGCACCATACCCGTGCTCCTGGGTTTCACCGAAGTGGTTAACGTCTCAGACCTTCATCACTTAGGGTTTTCCTCCCACATTAAGCTGACATGCTGTGATATAACTGGAATACTGTTAAAAGCAGCATTAAACCCAACTCACTCACTCACTCTCATAATAGAGAATAGAAAATTACTCACTGAAAAAGCCAGAGCATTCACAATAGCTCCAACAACCATCATTGCAACTGAAACCATCATTATAGCTTAAATATTCAAATGTTTAATTATTTCATTACATGTATGTCTTCTGGGATAAGCCCTTGCTTGTTTAGCATATCTTTTGTTGCGATGACTAGACTTTCGTCTTGGATGATCATATCAATATCATAACCATTAAAATCAAGCTTGGGTGTTGTGCTTTGGTAATCATTTTACCTATTCGAGCATAGCCTGTAGTTAACCACTGAACACCTGAATGATATCAGTTTCCTCTATAGCATAACATGGGAATTTACCTCTTTTTGAACCACGTTCAATTTTTAAATTTTGTTCAGTACAGTTGGTGTTTTCTCTTCACCATAAGAGAAAAAAAAAGTTCATAGAACAAGGGAGACAACAAGCCCACCAAGCAACCCATGCCAAAACAGAACTGTCGGGAGATTTATAGATGAATTGTTTCCTTGATATAGGATGGCATCTTGATAAATATTGACGCCTTACACGATGATCCCCTGGATCGTCATCACATAATTGGTAAAACTTTTCACGTTCGCTTTCTGATCAGCACACAGGAATGTTATCATTTCAAAAACCTTAGGATGTCCTGTGGAATATCTGCAAGTCTGACCATACTTCTTCAAACAGTGTCGCTGACAGTCATCACGGTCCTTCTGCAATCTATTGTAGTGCATTTCCAATACAAAAAGCTCTTTTCTATTTCCAATTTAATACATGAGATCACCAGCACACAAATATCTGCCACCTCGGGATGTGGGGGAAAAATCTAGGCGTGCGTTTGCCAAATCGAATATGATGCACATAACTTCAGCTAATCATAACTATATATACGTTAATGTTTTCATCACACAGATTTAGGAAAGGTGAACGAATTCCAGCTATCAGTGATGGTCAGTTTTGCACACGCAACTACCCCCAGTGGGCACAGATCAGCTTTTTACACCGCCCCTAAATCATAATCACTTGAATAAACACAAGTAAAACAATAAATTTCAACTTGCACCGCAATTCGCCTTCCTGCGAATACCTAAACTAAAAAGTCAGCTTAATGCAGAGACACCAGCCCTAGAAAATGAAGAACGTGGTCATCCTTTCAACTGCTTCCCGCGACAGACGTTGCTCAACTGTACCTCATTTGTGCCCTGAGTGAGTGAGTGAGTATGTTCTTTTTAAATATTCCAGCAATATCACAGCGGGGGACACCAGAATAGGCTTCACACATTGTACCCATGTCGGGAATCGAACCAGGGTCTTTGGGGTAACGAGCGAAGGCTTTAACCACTAGGTTACCTGCCCGCCCCATGTGCTGTACACAGGACCACGTGCCGCCACTCTGTTGGCTTAGGTAGTAACTGCATTTTCGGCTTCAATGCCTGTCATATATGGGGGTAAAGTTGTAAAACGGCAATGAACATATATGGCACCATTTATCCAACGATGTCGGCAGACCATTGCCTAAAACTGGTACCATTTTCATCAACAAGGCCACCAGTAATGCTTAATGTAGCAGAAGAAATCCATTACACACAAAATGGCAGTAATTACTGTATTAAGTCTAACAATTTTGATACAGGTTTATATCCGATTTGATTAAAGTGTCTGTTTTCATTTACATGCTTACTCAAATGTTACTACACGTTTGCCAAAATTATGTAAGAATACATTACTTTACCACAAGTATATACTGGTGATGGCACTGAGAACCTACCCCAAACTTTACCCTATTCCTGGAGATAATCCCAGACCAGAAACGGAGGTGGTTCTTGTGAGTCTACAGGAGACAATCATTAATGTGATAATCTCTTTACCGTCTACGCTCTCGAAATAATTGTAATGAAGGCATGTTCTCTCAAATTTTGAAAACCATCTCGGAGGCCATCAGTGACAACATAACGTCAACAGTGATGGCCAGTGACGTCACCTAATACTTTGACGTAACAGCACAACGTTACGATTCACAATGGTCTATTTCTCAAACAATGTGTATCATTGTGTCCAGTGTGCGTAGCTTAATTTGAACTATTTGAATTATTAAGGTAAAGATCTGACATCCCTTGAGCTGCTTGTGGCATGATCAGGATTTTGTTTACATGTGAGGCATCACAGTCTCCGCCTTACCGTCCCCTGAAACAAAAGAAAAGTACCCACATTACTTATAAATGCTTCGTTTAGTTTTTGTAAATACATGCGCTGATTCATTTCCTGTGGATTCCATGGCCCCATAAAGCCATCTGAGCGCTAAGATGATCGTAACTCCCATACCTTAACATAGACTTACGACAGTTGTAGCACAAAAAGATTTATTTTGACGAACTGGGCCCAGGTTAGAATACGTCCCAGTAACTTATGATTTAGGCGACGGGTGAATCGGATGGTCAAACGTGGTGGCTTGGTTGATAGTGTTATGGTACACCCACGGCGTGAGCCGTACATGTTATCAATCAATGACTTGTCTTGTCCAAACTCGGTTATGTGTAGCCGCCATGATCTAGTGGGTATATCGCTGGTTGCAGGGTAAAACTAAACATGTGTATGTACTCCAAATGTGTATTCCAAAGTGTTAGAATGTAAACTTAAGTTACTGTGTATTGATAGTTTATGGACGTTTTATTTGCACTATTATATGCTTTACCGAACTTACACGTGTATGTAAGCCGGAAATGATGATCAGAATTAACTGCCCCTGATGTTTGAATATATTTGTCTGTTGGCATTCATGCATCGTCAATGTCAGACATGTGTACGGCTCTGTTAATACATCTTGTATCCAATGAGAGTAGTTGAAGCCTCTATCAAACAAACAGTTAGCACTATGGCGTATTCAACACTAAGTAACACAAACTGGCTGTGAAAGGGGACTGCAATGGACACTGAATGGTCTGTTTCGTGAGCCTGTTGGTGATCGTTGCCTACTCAATTACTGAGGTGCACACGGGGATGATAAAGCTGAAACATTGCTGACCGGGACGTACATCATACATTCGTGGATGTTTCACAAACTCCACAGGACGTACCTGTGCTAACGTTATCTGTGTCTCCTCTCCTGGGTTTTGCAGTTGTTGTATCATCCAATGCCTTTTCTCTCAGTTCCACACGTAGCCACCTGTGTTACAAGTACAGAAGGGTTATTAACATTGAGAAATATTTATGAAATAAACATTACACAATATACTTATCGTATTTTAGATTTCTTTGTCAACATAGTTTCTTGGCTCATTATCAAACTATGATCACTCACAGCATGATGGCTGCGGCGATGACACACAGACCAGCAGCCAACATAAAGCTGAACCCTGGGAAGAAAGCAAGGGTTGCTGGGTAAAGTTCATTGAAGATGAGGTATGACAACAAGCTTCCAGTGCTATCCACCACGACAGCAACCAGTCCAAACAGGCGTCCTGGAAACAGATAATGAACATATTGAACAAGAGTATGCTTATCTAGTTGCACAACCTACTGTAATAGATTCATTATGTTTAAAGTACAGGGAGAAACAGTTCCTCTCATTCAGGTTTTATGTTTGTGGTGACCTTTGGCCTAACAATTACCAGCCTAACTGACCAGATATCCTGTTCAATCTGTTTATTTACATCAGGTCTCATTAAAATTATACGACTTACACTCCTTACCCTGGTTCACCATACTTGATATGTTGAGCCTAACACCACCTAAGCTTTACCCTGTTTGAACAGTCGGACACCTGGTATCATCCCTGATTTTCAGTGATCCATTCATATAATCTTTTCACCGCTTTTTTGCCTTTTACGCCCAGAGGAATGATTTTCGCCCAGAGGAACCATTGCACAGTTCTGTCCTTACAACACGCGATTGGATCTTCACCTTACCCTGTTCAGCGGGGCTGACCATATTGGACACAAGTGATCGAGCAACAGCTGCTGGAAAGCCTTGAAACATGGCAAATATCACAACTGAAATAAAAAGACGTGATTCCAGTTACTTCTTCATCACCAGCGTTTATGATAGATACATTTGATGCATATGCTTAAGCAAACAATCATCTTGTGAATGATATTCAACTTTCAGTTTTGTATTAGTTATGACATACCTTTGTGATTGGGGATGTAACAAATATAAATGGCACATATATTTCAAGCTGTTGCGAGTTACCTAGAAACAACAGCCATGTCTGTGTACTGAATCCCATGACCACCAGGCCGATGATCTTGGACGCCAGGCCCCATAGTCCTAAAGTGGTGTCTCTCATCTTCCTGCACAGAGGCATAACTGTGACCAGGGTTAGACCGCGAGTGAAGTTCTCCAGACCCTTATAGTAACCGAACGTTGTCTGTGACCAGCTGAGAGGTGCTCGCCTTGTGTACAGGAGAAGGACGTCAGCTTCACCTGTAGCATGGCAAGAGGTGACCTATATATGTGTTTGTGTGAGTATTGTGTATATATTCCTGAAAAAAAACGCAGAAGTAGTAAAATTGTAAATTGCTGACATCCATACACAACAAATACCAAAATGTCAAAGATGTATTGGCAATTTCTGCATGGACTGGGATTGGAAGAATGAAGTATTGCAGAGATCTAGTGAAAAGATCGCAAACACATTACCACATGAGACCCTGGTGCCGAAACACACCGACATGACATGCACGTGCAACATCACTGGTTGGGCTATAAAAGTTTGGATTTCATTTGCATGCCATCACAATCTTACAGCAAGTGAACAGCAAAAACGACTGCCTGAAGCCCAACGCAACAACGTCATCGGTCGACCACAAACAGTAAAATTATCTTCAGCTGCAGCCAGGTTTTTTCACGAAGCACCAAGCACCATTACAAGGACATGGAACCCTTATCAGACACACGGGACAACACGGGACCATTCCCAGATCCGTTTGACCATGTATCACTACTGGAGCATAGGACAGATTCATCCGGCAACGTCAGTTTCGTGAAAGAACCACCACGGCCTCCTTTTAAACTACGGCAATACCAAGATTGCGTAGGATATCAGCTCAAACAGTGAAGAACGGTTTACATGCTGAAGGTATTCACACCAGAAGACCACTTCAAGCTGTCAGTTTGACGGACCTGCCTCGTCTGCTGCGACATCAATGGTGTGAAGGTCACAGAGTATGGCCACAACTGCGATCGAGACAAGTTTGGCTCAGCAACGGGTCACGTTTTATGCTTTGCTGTGCGGATGGTAGACGTCGTGATCTGGGGAACGTAACGCACAACATTAGACGAATGGGGCCACACGTAGTTCCCATTATGAAACAAGCAAACGTCCCTTTCAAACTCGACAACGCCTGATCTCACACGGCAAGACTGACAAAGGCCTTTTTCAGGAATCACAGCATCCAGGTCCTGCCATGGCCCTCCAGGTATCCAGATCTAAACCCTATCGATCATTTATGAGATGCACTGAAACAACGACTGCAAGCACGTCAACAACAATCACAGAACATCCAGTTTTAGACTCTAATGGTGGCCATACAAGATATTGAAAACTGTTAACCTTCCCCTTGAAAATCTATTGTTCCATGTGTGCCATATAGAACCTAGGTCAGTGATGCGTCACATTTTTGAATAATCGATTAATATCCATTGTTTACTAATGTTATATATAAAATATACATCTAAAATATAAAATCTTTGGCAGAGTATAAGGGGCGGTAGGGTAGCCTAGTGGTTAGAGCGTTCAATCATCACGCCGAAGTTCGATTCCTGACATGGGTACAATGTGTGAAGCCCATTTCTGGTGTCCCCCACCGTGATATAGCTGGAATATTGCTAAAAGCGGCGTAAAACCATACTCACTCACTCACGTTGGCAGAGTATAGTATAATATATAATCTTACAATCCCTGTGAAAGGCATACTGGTTTAACCTATAAGGATTGTGAATTAAAACTTAATTTGTACTCACCTACTGTTGCGATCATAAGGAGGATTAAGACGATGAAAAGTAAGAAGATATGGAGTTTTCTCTTCCTTTGCCTCTTCTTCATCAGAAAACGACCAGACTCCTTGATGGAGGACAGAAACCAGTACGTGCAGATACCTTCACCCTCGGGTCTTGTCGTGTTGGCTGTGATGTTCTCCAGACGTAGGAGAGCGTATAACAGTCCTAAGAAGGAGCTTCCACTTATGAACGCGAAGACGAATACGAAGCTTGTATTGTCCAGCATGACTCCCGATACGAAGACCCCAACTGTTCCAGCAAAGAAGACAATCGACTCTATGATCCCCATTCGCACAGTTCTATTGGCTGGATCAGCAATGTGCATCACGTAGCTGTACACGGACATAAGCAGGGACGTGAAACCCCCGGACAAGCCATTTACTGCAGCAGCAATCATGACGTACTCCACTTTACTTGACGGGTAAATTGACAGAATCAAGTAGACAATGGAAGACAGCACTTCTCCCAAACAGGGTAAAATCACAGGTAGTTTTCGACCCACTTTGTCACCCAAGGATCCGAGGAGAAACAGGACAAGCAAACATGATGGAACAAGTTCCACAACATTTTTCCTCAAAATCCAATAGGACGTTTGAGACTGGACATAATCCTCTTCTGTTTTGTGGTCCTCCTGGAACGTCTTGTTCTGCAGACTGGTACAGAAAGTCTCGTTGTAGCGATCAGTGCAGATCTTGTCAAACACAAAGGCCTGGAAGGTTGGGCCTCTGAGATATAATCCGGTCATGTAAAGAAACAAAACTGGTTCAACTGTTATGAGGTTCAAATCGAACTGCCTTCGGCCACATCTAATAACAGCCATGTTTCGGGCAAAAATCTGAAACGAATATGTAATTTCTTTAAAATTATTAAACATATTATAATTCACATAGAGTTAAAAAGGATTGGGTAAAAGTTATAACAACTTAGAATGCATGCTCCTGAACATATTTACAAATTACATACTTCATTTACATCAACACATACCACAAGAAAGTGGATAGACAGAACACAATAAAATGAGTTATTTTCCAAGAAAAACAAATCTGGCATTGATCCACTCTTGGACAGATCCGCGTTGCCATATAAAAGTAGTCGTATATCGAGTTTAGATATGTTACCAATACTATCAGACAAGGCTGTGATCAATAACAGCAGCGTAGCATTTTTGATAATGGTTTGCAGTTAGTCGTCAGAGTCCCAAAGATAACGATGGATAATGCAAACCTTAGTCGTGTCTGGTCAACTGCAATTTACTGTGCTGTGCCAAAGATCTATGCTGTGCTGTGTATCTACAGTGTGTACAAAACTATATACATGAAGGCGTTTCATTGGAAGCATGACATTTAATTGTTATGGTGTTAACCAGTCGGTCTTGTCAACAGTGAAGTTCCCAACAACTTCACCTATATGCCATGTGTACACATCATAACGTGACTCATAAAGTAGTTATTATTTCAAAGGGTTTATTTTATTTTTCAAATTATAAGTCATATCTAATAGAAGTAGGGTGGTTTAAGGGTACTTTTGGGTGGGCATTTAATGTGAGAAGATTCATGTTGCTTATGGTATTATATTTGAATACAAGTTGATTTGAACAGAAAACGAAACGTAAAATGACTTGCCATTCCAAGAAATACCTTTGTAGCATTTCACTGATTTCACACGACTGGCTGACCTTGTTAGAAATCAGAAATCAAACAATAGTTATCATTGTGTATAATTAAAATATCCGGACCTCCTGTACCCCTCCTCTGGATTCAACTTGTGACTTGTGGTACTTCATGGAATGAAAAGAATAGTCATTTTCTAAGCTTACTGGGGTCTTGAGTTTCTGTAATATGGTATCTCAAAGCTATGATGGGACATTCTTTTACTTAAGACAGTAATCGTGTTTTACCGATGCCCAAGGGGCCAAATGCTGAAGACTGATTTTTTGCTTGTGGAGACCTGAAAGATGTTCTCCACGCTTGTGCATGGCTATTTGAGGAAATTTCAGTGGCGTATAGCCCTTACGCCCTGGACCAAGTGGTCACAGCTTGGAGGAAAGCTATCTTTTTTAAGCTGTTAAAAGTGTAGCATATGACATGGGTTCGTAGGGCGGTTCCATGATGCTTAAAAGTACAATTGATACCATTTTGAGAATATGCGACAACTTTGGTGAATGGGGAAGTGGAGAAGGCGTCCTGTAAGACGAGAGTTATGTTCCAATCTCCTTGTCTGGGGAGTTTCTTAGCTTCTCGGCTGACTCCATATGGATGTATTAGATCGTCCTTGTTGAGTAGGTTTAAGTAGATTATCATTTCCATCGGGGTCTGAATTCTGATATCATTACCTCAGGATACTGCAAGCCAGATTTCGCAAGTTGGTCTGCTATCTCACTTCCATGAAGCCCAACATAAGCTGGAATTCTCACAATAGAACGCGTAATATGCTTTTAGTATACTAAGAGATTGATGTATAGCTATACGTTCAGCAGCAAATACTGAGAGGTGCCCATTTAGCCTGAACAACACATGAAATGTAAAAACCATGACCGAATCCTTTGAGACATCAGTTAACATGAAGTTGGCATAATGTTCAGTTATACAATCCTGAGAAACGGCTTCTATGACACTTGGACTCATTCTTTTCCCCCAATCTCATTAAAATCAGATCTAAGTTCTCGCTGCCGCTAAACAAAGATCTGAGGACATCCCATTACAGGTCACGTCAGAACGACTTCATCCGACCAATCAAAGCTTCGCTTACCAGATCATGAAAGTTTTTAACATGCTCTTCACATCCTACAGTCGACCGAAATCTGGCGGCAGTCGCCATGTTGTTTATGAACCGAATGTCGAATTCGTTACGCGGTTTGATTGGACCCTGCACAAACTCATTAATCCAGCCAGAATATAATTCCTATAGTCAGGTAACGCCCTTGATCGGGAAGATGACGAGTTGACATATGACTTATAAGTAAACCTCTTCATTACTGACTACCTATATGTAAATATGTTAACACCGTGTATGTTTGACCAAATATGATCCGTTGTCTCTGGCAGGACGTAAAGTAAGAAATACATGTTTTCGTTGCTGATGGGTATCTATCACGTTAACCCTGACTGTGTACCCAAAGGACGAGTTGCTCATATTTGTTTACACTGGCAAATGCACGAATTTAGGTCACAGTGCGATAGCTCGTAAGTGATTACGTTTTTGAGTAAAATGTTTAACCTATTTGAAAGGAGTTAAAGCACGATTTCACATTCGTTAATTTGTTGCTCTAGAAATTAGAAATCACAAATCGTAAATCCATTCAAGGCCACTTTCATTTGATCAAATTATTAACTATGAATCACAAGATCACCCTTTTCAATTGTATTTATGAACTCAACATCACCAATAATTTCTGAACACCACGAGCTCACGATATAAGACTTATTAATTCCAAGAATTAAGTCAAATCTCGGGTAACTGTCGTAAATAGCATCACAAATGTAATTGGAACATCAAAATGGTCGATTCACTTTGAGTTATGTTTTGATGCTTGCGGTTTATTTTCTGCAAATCCCGCATCAGGAGACGTTTCTTCAAAGTCATTTGTATGGTATATATCTTCATCGCCATCCGTTATCTCTATTCATATTGAAGTGATTTACGACCAACGACGAGCTCGCCCAAACAACAGACAACGAAAACAGATACCAGACACATGGGGCGAAAGGTCCGTGCTGCAGCGATAATATAGAACTAAAGCAAATGTGGCAACAAAATAAGCCAATATTTGATGCTGATGGTCATATAGATTTACCTTGGTGATATAATGCTCCTGTTAAAACCCAAAAGAATGAATTGTTATGCTCTCTAATCCCATAAAACAAACAGGCGAGAGCGACAGATGACACGCCCGACCTCGCCAACAGTCAGTTACATATCTTGTGTGGTCATATCCCGTACCTGTGTTTCATGAAATATATCCAGTTGTAATGGCCTTTTTCATTACAAGCTCTTCGATAGAAATGGCATTCAAAAATGTTTCTTTTCAGTTTCATCGAAGTCAATTTTTGACCAATAGAAAAACATGTTGCAGGTTCTTTTGTCCGATGTGGTAACTAATATATGTGCGAAAAGAACACACTTCTTGTCCGACGAGCCTCGCTTTGTCCTATACACTTTATACTATTTTACTTGTGTAACGCATAGAACACACTTCTTGTCCGACGAGCCTCGCTTCGTCCTATACACTTTATACTATTTTACTTGTGTAACGCATAGAACACATTTCTTGTCCGACGAGCCTCGCTTTGTCCTATACAGTTTATACTATTTTACTTGTGTAACGCATAGAACACACTTCTTGTCCGACGAGCCTCGCTTTGTCCTATACAGTTTATACTATTTAACTTGTGTAACGCATAGAACACACTTCTTGTCCGACGAGCCTCGCTTTGTCCTATACACTTTATACTATTTCACTTGTGTAACGCATAGAACACATTTCTTGTCCGACGAGCCTCCCTTTTTCCTATACACTTTATACTATTTTACTTGTGTAACGCATAGAACACACTTCTTGTCCGACGAGCCTCGCTTTGTCCTATACACTTTATACTATTTTACTTGTGTAACGCATAGAACACACTTCTTGTCCGACGAGCCTCGCTTTGTCCTATACACTTTATAATATTTTACTTGTGTAACGCATAGAACACACTTCTTGTCCGACGAGCCTCGCTTTGTCCTATACACTTTATACTATTTTACTTGTGTAACGCATAGAACACATTTCTTGTCCGACGAGCCTCGCTTTGTCCTATACACTTTATACTATTTTACTTGTGTAACGCATAGAACACACTTCTTGTCCGACGAGCCTCGCTTTGTCCTATACAGTTTATACTATTTAACTTGTGTAACGCATAGAACACACTTCTTGTCCGACGAGCCTCGCTTTGTCCTATACACTTTATACTATTTCACTTGTGTAACGCATAGAACACATTTCTTGTCCGACAAGCCTCCCTTTGTCCTATACACTGTATACTATTTTACTTGTGTAACGCATAGAACACACTTCTTGTCCGACGAGCCTCGCTTTGTCCTATACACTTTATACTATTTAACTTGTGTAACGCATAGAACACACTTCTTGTCCGACGAGCCTCACTTTGTCCTATACACTTTATACTATTTTACTTGTGTAACGCATAGAACACACTTCTTGTCCGACGAGACTCGCTTTGTCCTATACAGTTTATACTATTTAACTTGTGTAACACATAGAACAAACTTCTTGTCCGACGAGCCTCGCTTTGTCCTATACATTTTATACTATTTTACTTGTGTAACGCATAGAACACACTTCTTGTCCGACGAGCCTCGCTTTGTCCTATACACTTTATACTATTTTACTTGTGTAACGCATAGAACACACTTCTTGTGGGGCGAGTTTCGTCCTGACCTGTACAAATATGTGCAAAGTTCTGAACACACTACTTGTGCGATGATCTTCGCTTTGTCCTATACACACACATGTGCAACATATAGAACACAGTTCCCGCACGACCAGCTTTGCTTTGTTCTAAACATACATATGTCAGTGCCATCGAATTCATTTTTTGTAAACAGAAAAAAAGGTTTGCAGGTTATTTCGTCTGTTGTGGTAAAACTGTCGAGGCTGTCCGAATGTGTAATGGATAGATGGATATATGTGCGTGTAGAACACAATTCGTGTCCGACGATCCTCGCTTTGTCCCATACACATTATACTATTGTGTGTTTAACGTATAGAACTCATTTCTTGTGCAACGAACGTCGCCTTGACCTATACACATTATAATATAATATGTGGAACATAAAGAACACATTTCTTGTGCAACGAGCTTCGCCTTGACCTATACACATTATACTGTTATAAGTGTAACGTAAAGAACATATTTCTTGTGCAGCGAACTTCGCCTTGACCTATACACATTATACTAAAATGTGTTTAACGTACAGCACATATTTCTTGTTCGACTAGCCTCGCCAGTCTCGAACTGCGTCCGTCATTTGTCAGCGATTCTAAACAATGACAATCCATTTAGCAGCGATCCATAAGAAAGGATCCATCTACCTAACTGATAACGTACCTCACAGCATTCATGCAACTGAATGGGTGGCGGGCGAAATACGTTGGGACTTCCGCCAGGCTAATGGCAACCTATGCTTAATACATGTAATACAAACCTGAAACAGACTTTGATTTGGCAAAGTCACCTATCTAACGAATGTGTAATGGGATTGCAATGATAAACACGTAGTTGGCCCTTGATACGACAGATATAACAGGTCCTCATGTGGGTCAATCCCTGGCTATCGTGCAGTACGATGTAAAGAGTGAGTGAGTGAGTTGGGTTTAACGCCGCTTTAAAAAGTATTCCAGTTATATCGCGGCGTGTCAGCTTTATGTGGGAGGAAAGCCCGAAGTGATGCAGGTCTCAGACGTTTACCACTTCGGTGAAACCCACGAGCACGGGTATGGTGCTGACAAACCTAGAAACATAATCGGGGCGAACCGGGATTCGAACCCAGAATCATAGGTTTCTGGCGTGCCCAAGGGACGCAACTCTGCACAGCGAATCGCGGCGCCTCAGACGACTGGGCCACCCGTGACCCCACGATGTAAGGAAGCATGATAACAAATGAAACATGTATGCAGTAGCTCTTACGTTGGATTTGACCTTCCTTGCACTTTTATTCATCTTTTCACTCGTAGGTTTGTTTACTAACGTAACAGAGAATTGATTCCATATTGTTGTAGCTATAGTCTTCGCCGCTTGAAATAGCATCACAAAATATCGCTGTGATTATTTAACGAAGGTAACTCCGTGTGTCCTGATGCTCATTTAAACACTCACTTTATGAACAGATTCGTTAGCCGTGAAAGGCGAAATAGCGATGAAATCTAAGTTCAGTTTATCTGGGAATAATTCTTCGACCCTTATTACAATTGTTCCAGTTGTTATCACAGGAGTCAAATATTGGTTAGATGAAAGAATATATAAACTCTGCGTGCTATTTCTATTTACTCACTCTTTCCGCATTGGGGCGGCCACATCAGCAGCCCTCAACGGGGTGCCTGAACACCTCATACAGCAGGTTGAACTTACAATGCTTACATACGGTTACCTACAAATTAAATGCTACACAACTAATTAAATATTCGATACATGGTATTTACACATCTTATCATTTACAGTTTGGATGGTGGGGTCCAAGCTACATGGCCAGGGCACGTCAGAACTTGCATCTTTGATGCACAGGTCAAGGCGACACGGAGCAGCCCCAGAGTCCTCATCATTCACCTGGGCGTCAACGTCCTGTGCACGGTCAAGGGCAGCTATCTCTACCTTGACATGGTGGCCTCAATCCACCGGATACGACTCTTACTTGCCGACACCAGGTTGATCATATCATCATACAATGCTGCCCAGGCGCTACTGGAATGACGCCAGTGATCCAATCAAGATCGAGGGGATGCGGAAGAATATTAACCGCAGACTTCCTAACCTTGTCAAGTAGCTTGGAGGAACAATTGTGCCACATCCACAGATTCTGGCATCAGACAGGACATGGTACATGTACATCTGGGAGGACGTCAACCTCAGTGAAAAAGGACCGTGTTTGATTGCGGACAATTCATTTAGTGACCTGGCATTCCATTCGTGACCAACTCGTGTTATTCCGGGACAAGCCGAATAGCGACTCGTGCCCCTCTCGTGGCCATTTTTGCGACCGGCTTCCGTCTTCGCGCAAACGGGCATACCTTAAATAATTGTCAACTCGTCGCGTTATGGTTCACATGTATTTTCCCATATATTATATATATTTTAGATGCAATTTAAAGCACATCGGGACATGCGGAATTATACAGTATGATTGAACACATTTAACTGTGCCTTGGGTATAGTTTTAGATGCAAGACAAATGTAAAATCAAAAAATATGTCTGAGGGATTCTTTGACGAAGAACTTGAAATCATACGCGCATTCGGATTGGTTTGTCGTATTTTCGCACATAACATTCATCGATAGGGGGGCGGGTCTGCTTGCAGGTTACGGAAAGAGGCGATTGGTGACGAATGCTGGCATTCATGTTGCCCTAATAGGAGGAGGATGTCTCCAATGGTCAGTGTTTCTTTCCCTTTCCATGCTAGCTGGGTGGCTAGGCTATTTCTCGCGTAGCCGTGGGCGTGGGGTAGCACTTTGGTGTGTTTTGTGGCGTGGCTCTTGTGGGCTACCCTGCAAGTAACAAATTAACTTGCTTCCAAATTAATACTCGCGTTTAAGGCTAGTTGCCTTTGAGCGGGAACCTTTTCGGGGGTTACCTGCTTCTCAGGGGGAACCTTGTCTTTCCCGACTTTTCACCCATGGAAATGTAAAATACCTTACGTTGGGCAACCAATCGCCGTGTATATTGGCCCGGTGGCGGTAGTCGTCCTGTCAGCGGTAGCTGACATTTGGGCCTGCGGCGGTACCCGCCACAATGTTTTTTTTCTAATTTGGCCAGGCAGTGGTAGTTGCTTTGACCGGCAACGGCAGTTGCCAACTATGCTATCTAGGGCCAGGCAGTGGTAGGTGTTTTTGGCAGCGTGGTAGTTGACAAGCAAGGATAGAGTGTCTTATAATTGAATATACTCCAAGAGGCCGGGCAGCGGTAGCCCTTAGGCTAGCAGTGGTACCTGCTAATCGCCATTGGCAACGCTAGTTGCTATGGCAATGATTTCTTTTTCGTGTACTAGACTACCAGCTTAGTAGCCCACTAGCAGCTACATCAACTTGGCCATTTCATCCACTGTCAACTCGTGTTGTTATTTTAGGCACAGGCATCATCATGGGTAACCAGTGCCTCACCTTTTGCATATCATGTCATAATTAGATAATGTTTTAGACTTCTTAAGCAAGTACCCTTTGGACTTGCTTTTAACTATATGATGTTGTCAGTAATCATTAATAAGCAAAATATGACTACATATTTACGAGAAGCAACCAATTGGATTTTCAGCACCACCCCACTGATAAAATACCATCTAGAGAAGTCGTATGCAGACCAGGGATGAGAGCTTTCTATTTCGATTCGCTTCTATCCAGATCAGGATGATTAAGGTGATGGCAGATACGTTTGATTAATCGGGTCTCAGTCTACTAGAAGAGAAAGAGAAGAAAAGTATGTATATAGTTATTTAACCTATATCTTCGTATATCTACCCATGTGCTGTGTATGATGCTATAATAGTGCTATATCTGTTTGAGTGAATGGTGTATTATGTGTTGTTAATTGTAACATGTGCTTCTTGTGTGAAAGTGTTAATTGCATGTAATACGTGACAGAGTGCTTATTTGTTATGTTTGCTCAAATAATAAACCAGTATCACATCACACATGACTTGTTTTTGATATAACCACGCAACAACGTGAATGCATTGAAGATAAATAATCATATACACCTGACGTTCGAAGACCTATCGTGAAAGGAACAATATTTGAACTTTTTTGGCCTCCATGCTTCCCGCGAACCAAGGGTTCATGTATTACCCAGATATCATGTCAGAAAATCGTAATACACATTTGAAATGGTTATGTAACATGCATGATACGATTCATGTATGGCACTTCAGTCCATCATGGGAACACAATGACATCATGTTCGTTTTTCACCCTGCACGCTTCTTCTTGGTGTGCATAATATGAAATACAGACGTGCAATTATAAAGTTTCATGTCCTTATCTATACATGTACTTGAACGCAATTATAAAGTTTCATGTCCTTATCTATACATGTACTAGAACACACACATTAACAACCACTTGATACAATGAAAACCAAGTGCAATTTAAGAACAACTATGAATTTACAGACTGCTTTCACTTTGTCATATCAGCATACACTGACACAATGAAGAATAAACACACGTCAAGAATAGATATTTGAATTGCACTCTACCTTTTCAATAGTTCGCACTCTCTGGTTGTCAGTGGTAACTGGTTTCCTGGCAACATGGACTGATAATTAAATAATTGTCAACTCGTCGCGTTATGGTTCACATGTATTTTCCCATATATTATATATATTTTAGATGCAATTTAAAGCACATCGGGACATGCGGAATTATACAGTATGATTGAACACATTTAACTGTGCCTTGGGTATAGTTTTAGATGCAAGACAAATGTAAAATCAAAAAATATGTCTGAGGGATTCTTTGACGAAGAACTTGAAATCATACGCGCATTCGGATTGGTTTGTCGTATTTTCGCACATAACATTCATCGATAGGGGGGCGGGTCTGCTTGCAGGTTACGGAAAGAGGCGATTGGTGACGAATGCTGGCATTCATGTTGCCCTAATAGGAGGAGGATGTCTCCAATGGTCAGTGTTTCTTTCCCTATCCATGCTAGCTGGGTGGCTAGGCTATTTCTCGCGTAGCCGTGGGCGTGGGGTAGCACTTTGGTGTGTTTTGTGGCGTGGCTCTTGTGGGCTACCCTGCAAGTAACAAATTAACTTGCTTCCAAATTAATACTCGCGTTTAAGGCTAGTTGCCTTTGAGCGGGAACCTTTTCGGGGGTTACCTGCTTCTCAGGGGGAACCTTGTCTTTCCCGACTTTTCACCCATGGAAATGTAAAATACCTTACGTTGGGCAACCAATCGCCGTGTATATTGGCCCGGTGGCGGTAGTCGTCCTGTCAGCGGTAGCTGACATTTGGGCCTGCGGCGGTACCCGCCACAATGTTTTTTTTCTAATTTGGCCAGGCAGTGGTAGTTGCTTTGACCGGCAACGGCAGTTGCCAACTATGCTATCTAGGGCCAGGCAGTGGTAGGTGTTTTAGGCAGCGTGGTAGTTGACAAGCAAGGATAGAGTGTCTTATAATTGAATATACTCCAAGAGGCCGGGCAGCGGTAGCCCTTAGGCTAGCAGTGGTACCTGCTAATCGCCATTGGCAACGCTAGTTGCTATGGCAATGATTTCTTTTTCGTGTACTAGACTACCAGCTTAGTAGCCCACTAGCAGCTACATCAACTTGGCCATTTCATCCACTGTCAACTCGTGTTGTTATTTTAGGCACAGGCATCATCATGGGTAACCAGTGCCTCACCTTTTGCATATCACGTCATAATTAGATAATGTTTTAGACTTCTTAAGCAAGTACCCTTTGGACTTGCTTTTAACTATATGAT